TATATATACACACACATACATAACACCCTCCTAGCATGGGAAACACGACCTCATTTTCACCACAAAAGTAATTATTTTTCCTCACTGTGGCAGTTTTAAGTCTGCGCTCTTATTTTGAAGCCAGCGGCCTCATTTCCGGTATTAGCCCAGCTGTCTCTGGCTAACGTGACGCAGCTGAAAACGGAGCGAGTTGGTGCTGAGAACTCCTCCTCCGAGTTCACATCTCGTTGGCTGAAAATTTTCTGTGACACACCCACGGTCTGTCCGCTAGTCTGCTCTGTTGTCTCCATGTATTAACGGTACGAACACTTGTCCTCCGTGGACAGTGTGTCCAACACTGAACTGTCCTACAGGGACTGTCCTGAGTGGTGTGTGGATGATGAGACACCATGACAGTATAGACCAGCAACAGATGAATCTTTATCTCTGCATTTATTCCACTGTATATTTTGATCCCTACATGTATTGATGCCTACATGTAAATTTCAGGTAACATCCCCACACAGAGGTCAAAGGTCAGGGTGATGCTGACACTCCTGCACTGGGTAAGTATTGATTGCTTTGCAGAGGGTCATGGTGCCCCTGATATCAAGACCTGAATCCAATAAATAGGGGTAACTGGACTGATATTTTGACATGCATCATCCAAAATCTAACCTCCACACATATTGACTCTATTACCTCAAAAACCAGAACACCCATACACCCTATCACCACCAGAGGTGGAGCTGGGGGGTGGCTTCTGGAGCCCCAGCCTCAAATGATTTCCCAAAAGCCCTGAATCTTTTAGGTTTTTTAAAAAAATTATATATATCCTTGTTGTTTATCTGACAAATATAACTAACTAAATATAAATACCCATACTTTAATACTTCCAAAAGGGTGTCTACAAGTAGTGATGGCCAAATGAAGCCCCATGAAGCTTTTCCTTTCTTTTCTAAGCCCACTAGATGGCGCTCATGGTTTGAAGAGAGAGGCTCAAAGAACAGCATTTCAGTGTGCTTTCAACCTTTTGTTGAACAAAAAGCGCCATCTAGTGGGCTCAGAAAATAAAGAAAATGCTTCATGAGGCTTCATTTGGCCATCACTATACAGGTATCTGATACTCACATTTAAGGCTTTTTAAGACCTTTTTAAGATAATTTTCTTTCTTATTCAAACAGGTAGCCAGGTAGGTTTAATGTAAAAAAAAAAAAAAAAAAAGGTCACTGGAGTGAGTTGGACTGATCTACATTTTGCCGACAGGTAAGCCAAAGTATAAAATAAAAAGACAGTATTAGTTTAAGAATTTGTAACAACAGCAATGTGGACTTTCACACAGCTTGACTCATTTTAACAAAAATCAAATCAAAAGATGGATGAATAAAATGAGATAAAATGTTTGTAGAACTTAAGACCCCACAAATTTAAATTTAAGACTATTTTAAGACTTTTAAGGCCCAATATTTATAAATTATTTATAAAAATTTAAGACTCTGTGAGGACCTGCAGACGCCCTGTCCAATATTCATCAGCCTGTCAATTTGTGTGTGTGTGTGTGTGTGTGTGTGTGCTTTAACTGATGCTTCTTCTTCTTTGCTCTATCCCCTTGCTGCTGCAGTGATGCAAATTTCCCCACTGTGGGATGAATTAACGGATTATCTTATCTTTAATGTTAAGTCTGGTAACCACCAGAGGGCCCATGGTGTGAAATTATCACAGTGCTTAAGTCACATTTTGCAACATGTCAAGTATTGTGATAAAATCTACTGCAGTTTATTACCTTTTTTTTTTTTTTTCATTTGCAAACAAATGCCAAAGTAAAACTTGTCAAAATCTGTCTTACCAAATAAAAAGAAGTTTTCAGTCTGTTCATCTCACTCAAATCATTTTTAGCAAAATGTATCTAGTGGATGGAAAAAATGACCAGTTAATTAAAAAAAATCAGAAAATGAAAGAATAAATAAAAGAAAATTTTAAAAAACAAATAAAATAAAAATGAAATTATATTAATAATCTATACAATTAAAAAAAAATCAATGTATCGATACAATATTGCCATGCAAAATATTGCAATCCTATGCTGCATAACTTTTTTCCCCCACCCTGAGTAAATGTGCTTTTCCAATATTTAATTCAAAATACTGAAGACCAAAGTTACTGGGCATTGTTGGGGATATTTGATTTGCAATTAGAACAGGCCAGAATATTATGGTGTGGATTCAAATGCAGCATATTTATCAGCTAAACGTTCATTCTGTGAACTCCAGCACAGTATAACAAAAACAAGATGCTGTTTACACCAAATTCCCACCATACTAATGTTATGCACCTTAAAAATAGTACAACTTTTATGTCCTTGTAGGTTACAGGGGTGAAAATTAGTCCTTTTTAACATTTGTCGTGTCAGAGTTTCAGAATGATGAAGACAGTTGGAACAGTGAGGTATAAAATAGGGTGTAGGCTCTACAGGATAATTGTTTTCCCTGAAGACTTGGGTTTTTCCCAAATGATGTACAGTATTTTAGGTATTCTTGTATCTCAAATGTCTTAAAAAATAGTGCATATAGCTGCCATTAAAAAAAAAATCTGTCCTGAACGTTGATAGCATCTGGCTCGGCCTCTGATCACCACAGAGAAAAGAGTGACATTAAAAAGAAATAAATAAAATAAAAGGCTACTGAAAGGATGCAACTGCTGACCTCACATTCAATTAAATCTGTGGGACTTATCATATGTGGAAAGTGAGCCGGTGTGGGCGAACATTACGCCCCACGCTCTTTGATTGCTGTATCGATTGCCCGTCGGCTTGATTTAGGTCAGACCGGACACATATTGACTGAATAAGGGACAGTCTCTCTATCAGTCCGGCCAGTCGAACGCTATACAACCTCTCTCTACAAAGTGGATGTTCAACTGTAGCTCCTACTCTTTATGCATTAAGCGATATGGCCTGTCTGAACTGGGCCTGATGGAGCGCAGAGTCTGTGGTAAGTGCTTTTTAAATGTTGTGTGGTTGAGCTGCTTTCCTCTGCTTTAAATTTGTTGGAATGGACAGAAACCTGTGTGTTATACTCCTAATCTGTACCCCAGTTTAGCTGTATTAATCCAAACATATTAATTATTATTTCATAATAGTTTTTTTTATTATGTACTATTGATACATTAAAAATATTTTAAAAAATACATAGTACAATATTGTATTTCTCTAGCTGTGTTAACATTATGATCTTATTGATAATAAAATATTTGACATATCTAACAAGTGTGTTTCTGTTGAGCTGATCCTCATGATTTTAATAGCATTGATCAAACTCATGATGTAAGAGAGTGTAAAAATGATTCATTTTGAGCAGAGGACATCCAATAATTAATAATCCTGTAGCATGAGTTATGTTTTCATCTTTAGTTTGATGCCATTTTAGCCAAGTAAGACTGATCAATCAATCATAATAATAATGATGATGATAATAATAAACTTAATTTATAAAGCGCTTTTCAAAACAAAGTTACAAAGTGCTTTACACAGTTTGATCCTGGATTCAAAATAATGCGGGATCCAAGCAAGTTAAACAAGGCAATTTTAAGAAAATGCAAAGAACAATAAAAATAAAATATCATTACTGAAGCAGATAAGCAAAGTTGACAACTAATCGCCCTGTAGATTGCAGTGACGCACAACAAATTGAACAATTAGAGTGATACAAAATAAAAGAAAACAATAACCGATGATAACACAAGATAAAAACAATAAAATAAATGAGAACTATATAAAATAAACACAGACAAAAATCATGCAAACTGATTTCATAATCTATTGACACAGCTGTATGGACAGTAAAACAGTTGAAATATTTCCTACTGCCATTAGGGGGCAGTAATATCTCAGAAGAGGCATCTTGTGCATGTAGAAAAAAACATTTCTTTCCTTTTTCTCATCCTTTCTTTTTCTGTGTCACGCTCTGGTGTCCCTCTTCACTAATAAAAACAAAAGAAAACTGATGCAAGTATGAGAATATATATCAGGGGTTTTATTTTGTTGAATTTTTCTTGTCTGTTCTCTCAGAGTGAGTAGGATGCTGAGCAGAACAGAACACAGAGGTGAGTCCAAAGTGTCACAGTTTAACAGGTTAATATATGAAATACAAGCATAACTGGAGAATAAAGCAATAATCCCCATAACAGTAAATCTTTTTAAAAGCTCTCCTATGGGACTTTTTTTTTTTATTACACCCTCCGTTTAACCTTTGACCTCCCTCTTTGGGCTCTTGACCTCCCCTCATAACCTTTAAAACAAGCTCTGTAAATTAAGATCATGTGCAGGTGGTGTGCTTATGGATGTGGTGTGTGTATATGTGTGTGTGGGCGTGCTTTGCTCCTCCTCCTGCAGGCGTGTGCAGGCTGCTATCATCAGTGATGTCTGGAACAGAGTCTCATACAGACAGAGAGGAGGACTACAGGTTCCTCCACAGCATGCTGATGGAGAAGAAGCTCCACCTGCTCTTTAAGGTCGACACACATTTGTGCTGTGCAGTGATTTGTGCTCCTCTACGTCCATTCATTTCAGTTACAGCAGCTGTTTTCTAACTTATTCAAAGGGGAACGCCACCCATAAAGTGAGAATTTAGGCAGTATCAGTTATAACATCTTTCCCAGTTCACTGTCTATAGAGCAGTTGCAGACTTTATACTCGATGACATCACAAATTTGAGTTTTAGCACTTAAGTTTTTGGATTTGGGAGAGAGTTGTTCATGTTTAGTAATATTTTTGGACTGTCTTAGACCAGGGGTCAGCAACCTTTGCTCAAAAGAGCCATTTTCTGTCTGGAGTGTTTTATAGTGATGGCAACTATCTAATCTAAATTAGCCTGTAAACATTCCTAACCGGCACTCATTAATATGTTTTTACAACAAAGTAGCACCTCTGCAGTGAGCTATTTATGATTATTTGGTACTTAAACTTTGCAGTGTTGGTGGTGAAAGCAAACAAATCTATGAAATTCTCTATTTTCCTCTGAGACATTTTCTTTTTTGGATTTGGAATCAACGGCTAGCCACATTAGGGAGACTCAAGACTCGCCATCGCTATTGAGATTCAGCAAATTTTAGGAAAAGCAGCCAGACCGTAGACGTATGACGCACATAAGATGTTAAAACATTTTTTATTCAGTGTTTTTCAGGCTACACATTTACACAGTTGGAAAATGTAAGAATCGCTTTACTGCTACAACGATGATAAGTAAAAATTAAATTGTTAATTTTTTTTTTTGTTTTTTTTTGTTTAAGCCACAGGGAGCCACTTAAGAAGGGCTGAAGAGCTGCATGTGGCTACCCTTGTCTTAGACCATAGGAATAATATGTATAAATACTGAAAATGAGCAGAGTTCCCCAATAAGCAGCAAAAAGATAGAAATACTCAGATCTTATTTTAATACCAGTGTAAAAATACTCCATAATAAGTAACTGTCTGGCATTCAAAGTGTTACTTAAGTAAAAGTACAGAAGTACATAAGGGTTATTTTGACACGTCATGAAATGAATGGTCCTAAAAAATATTTTATACAGCATACAGGCAAAAGTGGTGATGAAATTATCGAAATGTGTATCTATTATACAACTACAGTCTGGAGGCTTTTCTGTTATTGGCAGAAATTTCACAGTCACCTTTTTAAAAGAAAGTTTCTTTAACTTCAGGTAATATATATATGGTATGTTGGCACAGTTCAGGCCATCATATTGAAAAAACAATAAAGGTGGTGCAATAAAACAAAATGTTTAAAGTGAGCAGTAAAATGCAAATTATAAAATGTTAATATGTAACAGAGTGTACAATTTTAACTTCATTAAACCCTTAGGAGCTCAAGATTTCAAAATCCATCTCATCTTGCAATGTTTAAACTACACAATCCAAGCTACACTCAAACAGAAACTGTTACCACTTCATTAATCGTCTATGTAATTTGTTACCACTTACAAGACACAAGCGCCGTTCCAACTGCTTTACCTTTAGAGTTACACACACACACACTCCTGAATTTGCTCCAAAAAATCTGGTCACCATGCTTTAATGGAAGATTTCAATCCACTACAAGTTTACAGTCATTTTCTTTAGCCGTTAACCCTTTCCTGTTGACCTTGCCTGCATATATAAAATGAACTTTCTGACTGTAAAAATGGCGGGGTCCAATACTGCCTTCTGAAAAACTGTAGGGGACATGTCCCCTGTAAATTACACCCCTGCTTTACTCTATTAGGTACTCTACTCTGTTAGGTGGTTTAATGCTTCAAAAAGTATCTTATTTTCTACAATGATGATACATATTAAGTGTAAAATATTAATCTGCTAAGTAAGTCTCGTAAGTCAAGTACATGTTCCTTCAAATTAAGTTAAAGTACTTGAATAAATGTACTTAGTTATTTTCCACCACTATTAAAAAATAAACAGGTCATAAAAATGCAGTTTCACATAAACTGAACTGCAACACATCTTAAAATGTATTTTTAAATTGCTAAAAGTTCTGCTGCAGCACCAGTATCACTGCAGAACTTTAAATAAATTATATTTTATTTTTATAAATCAGGATACGGATCATTTGATGTCCTTCCAGAACGTGTGTTCACGAAGGAAGAGGGCAGGGAAGTAGCAAATAATAAAACCAAGAAATGAAGCATTCAATAAAACACACATTTAAAAAAGTATTACAGTGATAATATTAGTGAATAAATATTAAAATATAAGACAAGTTTGAGGACAGGAATGAGAAATGTGAGGTCTAAAAATTAGACAAGGAAGCCAAGTGGGCCTGTAGTGCAGCCATGCCCTGGAAACAGTCTAATAATAACAATAGTAAAAGCAGCAATGTTAAGTTAGTGGAATTACACAGTCTCACAGTTTTAGAGAAGAAGCTGTTTCTTAGCTGGATGGCTGTTAATGTTATAAGTAGTAGTAGTAGAAGTATTTGGAGTTGCAGTAGGAGTCTTCTTACTGCAGAGAAAGCCTTGATTGCGATACTTTCCTGATTTGACAGATCCACGAACGGCTGAAGCGTTTTGAGAAGCGGAGCCCAATCCCCGTCCAAGAGCACGCAGCGAGTCTGGCCTCAGATGTAAGTGACTCTCTCCAAACATCTTTTGCAGATAGACGCGCCGCCGAGGATGACAGTTTGACAGCGGAGGGAACGGGGAGGATTTGGTTGTGGTTCAAATTGTTTCCTCTGATGTACAGATGACTCTCCTGTCACACAGTAGCACGAGTAGAACGTACAGTCCGTCTTGTGTGCACTGAATTATGAAATGTTATCTCAAAAACTCTGTCACCTCACTTGAAAGGTTGTGTTTTATAGCAGATATCAGTTTGTATCTGCATACAAGGAGTTTGGGTCACAGAGGACAGCACCGAGCAAAAAGACTGCTAAAATCATTTTGTGTGTAGTCTAATGTTTCAGGTTGGAGGAATACAATTAATTTCAGATTTAAAATGAAGTGGCAGAGAGTGCTCCCACCACGGCTGTGACTCACATCGGCACGACCACTCTCAATCCCCCTCAGATCATGTGCATCATATTTCATAGACCAGTCATCTTCGTTCCTGTCACCAACCAATCACTCTTATATTTCCATCTCATCCCACTACCTTCGTCTTGATCGTGCTCTACCTTCATTTCCTTATTTTCCCCCTCTTGTTCCTGGTCCAGTGAAATCAAAAGAACAAGTGGCGATGAAGGTTTCATCGCCTCACGTCACCTGTGACTTGGCCAAAAATTTGCACATGAACACACCGCAAAGACTACAGCCAACAGCCAACTAGCATGTACATTCTGCGTCTGCGCGATTCAAAAAGTGAAACTGGAAGACCGCAGGATGGATTTAAAAGGCTAGTTAGCCAGTTAGCACATCACAACACAACCTGATATTGAAAGAACAAAGCATACTAACTGTGCGCTAGTGAAGAATAACACAAACCATTATGAAATGGAAAACGTTATCCTCCAAGAATCGCCACCTTAACGTGGTGGGTGGGTTTACGTGTCCCTGTGAAACCGGGAGCTGAGTTGTCTGGGGCTAATAGCCCCTAGCAGGGTCTCTAAAGGCAAAGTGGCTGGGCCTTGGGCCATGGGGCAGGGTCGGGTTCAGCCCAAATAAATAACACAGAGCTGTCGCCCTGTGGGTAGTGATGGCCAAATGAAGCCTCATGAAGCATTTTCTTTATTTTCTGAGGCCACTAGATGGCGCTCATGGCTTAAAGAGAGAGGCTCAAAGAAGTTTAGTGTGCTTTCAACCTTGTGTTGAACAACAAGCGCCATCTAGTGGGCTCAGAAAATAAAGAAAATACTTCATGGGGCTTTATTTGGCCATCACTACCTACAGGCCCACAACCTGCAGGGACAGGAATCGGGGTTCGGTGCATGGAAATGGAATGGAATGGCATGGAATGCTGGAAAGCGTTGCTGGGGAGAAGGCCATATGGGATGCTTTGCTTGGCCTGCTGCCCCTGCGACCCAGCCCCGGATAGCAGATGAAAATGGATGGATTATGAAATGTTTCTGCTAAAGAGCTCAATGGCTAAAGAAAAACAGTCTTACCTTATGTAACAAGTTTGCTTTGATCTCACTCCCTCTTAACATTAGCTCTTTGTTTACTTTCCTCACTTCCGTTTCTCCTCTGGTGCGCTGAGCTGAACTGGCATTCAAAGTAATTACATCACCCGACGGGCTCCGCCGTCTTTGATACCAAACATGCTGAATCGGCCAAAAAAAAGCAGATAAGGAACGGAAAGGGCCAACAAGGGCCAACGGTGCAAACAAAGCAAAAACTTGGGCGACGGTTGCTAGTTGACGGCCCAACACTGACCAACAGCTGACCGTTGGCTTGATGTTTCAGGGCCCTTAAATGAGGATGTTCATTTTACACTTTTCCCTTACTCTATGCTTCCATCTTTTCCTCTAACCACACTCCCCTCCATTATCTCTCTCCTTCCCCTTTCCCTCCATTTGCTTTCCTTTATCGTCTCCCTATACCCTGCACACTGCAATTCCTGCCATGTTTCCATACTGTCTATCTACCCGTGTCCTCTCCCCAGAACTCCACTCCATCTCCTTCTCTTCACTCCCTTTGCTTCAGATTCTGTTAGACAGCGACTCTCCGCCTGGCTTAAATCATCAGGACCTACTGGAAGGGCCAAACCATGGGTCTGTTTCCCCTCAGAGAGGCTTCTGTTTGCTCACAGTGGAAACTAATGACCTTCATGCATTGTGTCTCTGGAGTGTGCCTCGACATCTTGAAGCAGTAGAAGTCATTACAGTAATATGCTTGACAAGACGGGCGACTGCACACAGTCACTCGCCGCCTCTCCACTTGCCGCTGACGGTCAAGGCTGCTCTGTTTTAGCTGTCGCCGCAGCTGTCGTGTAGCCTTGAACATTCGGGAGCTTTTTTTTCTGACAGTGGCTAAAAGACACAAAACTAAAACAGCATGAACAAATAGTTAACATAGAGAAGAAAAAAAGCAAAGTCCCAGTGAGGTGAACGGGGCCATATGAAAATGTAGAAATAATAAAAGTACTGATGACGTGTCACTGCAGTCTGAATCAGATACAAGTTGAACCCTCTCTGTCTCTCTGCTCAGTTCTCTGTCTCTCTTGGCTTGTACAGTGTGGACTAGAGCAAACCTCACTCAGGCCATGATATAAATAAATGTATACCTCTAATTATAAAAAATACATCCTGCCTCTCTGTCTCTTTTTCTCTGCTTCCAGTTGGCAAAGGAGCTGATATACCAAGGCTGGAGAGAGGAAGTCAAAGAACTGGTTGCCCTCTTTTCTAAACCAAACTTTAAGGTGATGAGTATTTCCTCCCTTGGCGATGTGAACCTGTAGCTTCACACATGTCGACCTAAAACTCTCCCAGCCAAGTCCTCTGTCTTGTCAAATCACATAATTTCTACCAATGAAATACACCAGCCTTGAAAGAAAGAGTTCAAGATTTGGGGAAATATGCTTGTTCTTGCCGAGAGAAGATTGATACCAATCTTTTGTTTGCATGACAAATATGAAGCTATAATCAGCAGCTGGTTAGCTTAGCCTGGCAAAAAGACGAGAGAGGGAAGGGGGTCTACTCATTGGTCCGACAGCCCATTATGCCGACATCCCATTGTTCCGACCATATTAAACCCATTGTTCCGAAGTCCCGTTGTTCCGAAATCATCATGATGCCCTTTGGTTATGGTCTGGTTAGGTTTATGCACAAAAACCACTTGGTTAGGGTTAGGAAAAGATCATGGTGTGGGTTAAAATGAAAAAGAAAGTGGCAAACACATAAGCTGTGAGCCTGCTCCGCCTCAAGCCAGCTGACCTAGAGCCAGTCACGGCACACCATCAAGGCAGAAATACGCCCGCCGGGAGCCATTCAGCCCCGCGGAGAGCTCCCCACACAACCCCGACCCCAGAGTTAATAACAGGAGGTTATGGTGTTTCACTCTCTCCTCTCTATGACACTTGTATCTCGACCAGTAGCCTACTTTTGTTGCGTTTGCTGATCCTCTATGGTACACAAATACAGTATAGCCTAGTATAATCACATATCGGAACAACGGGACGTCGGACTAATGGGATGTCGGACCAATGAGCTGTCGGACCAATGACATGGACCCGAGGGAAGAAACTAGCCAGTAGAGGTGGGCGATCACAAAAATACCCTGAAATATCGTGGTAATATTTCAGGGTATTTTGCGATAACAATATTCTTGACGATATGATGAACAGTGAATTAGTAAATTATTAATTCAAGAACATGGAATTGCAACAAAATAAGTGATATAGTTTTGCAGTTTGCCTTCAAATATTCAGTAAAAACTAAAATGACCCTAACCCTTTTTTTTTTTTTTTTTTTTTTTTTTAAATCTGCCTACCAGCCAACTTCCAAAGCCCACCATTTACAGTACGTGTTATATTCACGCCCCCAGAAAGTGTGCTGGACTTTGGAGCTAATTTGACACAGTGGCCAAACTGTGGAATTCCAACTTTCTGGTCTGTCACATGATGCCAGGGGGCCATAAAGACTTTTCTGCCATTGACTTTCATTGGAAAAGAGATGTCTCTAACAACCCCCTCCAAAATGACTAATTTCACTATCAGGATCTTATTCATTCGATCACATAACATTTCAAAAGTCTAGAAGAGAAACTGCAGCCAGGGGACAGTTAACTTATCTTGGCTTAGCATAAAGACAGTGAGCAGGGGGAGACAGCTAGCTTTCCAAAGGTAAGAAATCTGGGTCATCCCTATGTTTCCAAGGGCCAAATCTAACGTTGTGTTGAGATCTGAGTATGTGTCTCTTGATAAACCATGACTGTGAGAGATTGGTGAGGGCTATCTTTGCTGTTTCAATAGCAAAAAAATGAAGGAAGATGAACATTTCAAATGCAGTCTAAATGGTGATATCTTTCAGTCACTGTGGAAATATCAATGTCTTAAGTCAAGAAAACTGGCTTGCCTACAATTTGTGGGTGCAGCATTCAAAGAGTATAATATCAGTGGGCTTTAGGTGGGTGATTTCAAAATACTGACCACAGGAAACATACACTGAACATCACAGAGGGATAAAAACTGAGAATAAAACTCTCTGAAAGGTCTTCTTAATCAGTCACATTAAGGCCCCGATCACACAAAAAACGTTTTGCAGGTTCCAAAATGTGAGGTGCATTGCACTGCCTTTTTAAAATTGAATGCAAGTGCCTTTTTATTGGTGCCAGGCAACCACCCCATCATGTCCTTACACTAACCTTTCCGTGTAATCAATCTACATGGTAATCAGTGTCTTGTTCCTAAAATGTTGAGGCAGAGGGTACTTGCTGTAGCTCTGGTTGAGAGTGAGAGGCTGTCAGTAAATAGTTTGTTGGACACAGGGAAACAGAGATCTGTGTGGGTACATGAGACCCTAAAAAAGAGGGTGGATCATGGGAGTTGGTCCAGGAGCTTCACCTCCATGATGGCCGTCTCCAGGCATATTTTGGGATGACTTGAGGGCAGTTTGACAACCTGCTGTCTATCGTCGGGCTGTATAGCACTGGGTATCCAGCAACCGACTAGTTTCTCCTCCATTGTTTACCAACTGCAAACTTGTTGTCGTGACCACCACTGAAAGCCAAATCATCCAATTGGACAGTGGGAAAAAAGATGACAAAAAAAGAGATGACGTGGATGTTTTTTCCATGATGAGTTCAGAGCGCTCTGGCAAAAACACCAGGCGCCAAAAGACCAGAAACATGAGGCGTGTCACAATGCAGAGACCACGAGCAAAAAGCTTAATTCTCATTTAAAACAATTACTAAACAGCCGTCTCCAGCTGCTAAAACTCTTTCTGTGTGATCGAGGCCTAAAGGGATATTAGCTGGTGAACATAGGACCCTGGGAGCACAGATAAGCTCCTGAATAATCAGCTCAACTCCCTGAAAAGCCACAATCTCTCATTTTTCACACTTTAGTTTTGTATGAATTAAACAAACCAGATATAATCTTTTGTTACCTTTGGACAGAGCCAGGCTAATGTTTCCCCTGTTTCCAATCTTTACTCTAAGCTAATTAACTGACAGCTGCTAGCTCCAGCTCAACAGACAGACATGAGAGTGATATCACTCTTATCACATAAATCTTGACAAGGAAGTGAATATTATTTCCCAACATGCTGAACTGTTCCCCTGAGTTGCTTCTTAATCTCTGTAATATTACTCACACACACACACACACTGTAAACATGCCCCAAACTGTGCACGAGTGCAGTTTTCTATCACTGAAGCACATCCTATGATTGCCATTCACACGGACCATTTACAAAGCAAGAATGTATTCCACTGAGAAGATGTTGTTTTGCTTCCTTCTACTTCGGTGCCCCGGTGGATCATTAACAATAAAGAAACCTACTCATGAGATTTTTCCTGACATAGCTAACACTACAACTGCAACCTGAGAAGCTAATTTCCATGCAGGCATGCTTCATCTGAGCTACTCTGATGCTGTTGAGGCGACATCAAGAAGCTCATATGGGTCACACAAAGTGACAAATTAATCTAACTGTAAATTCTATTTAAATTTACTCCACCTAATCATTTTGCCCACTGAGAGGTGCTGACATCTATTAACCACACTGGAATTGAAGCTAATCTACTCCCTGGTTATGTTTATTAGTGTTCACTCATGTCGAGGCCCAGACTACTCAAATGCATGTTTCCTTATTTCAGATCTGCTGACAGTCATATTTCAGACACACTCACACAGCATATGGTTTTCCAGTGGGCCGCTTAAGTCGTGGCTTTTCTTAATGAGGAGCCGAAGCCAGCCGAGAACTAACAGGTTTGTTTAAACAGTCTTAATGACCTGTTTGTTCTTGGCCACGGTGCAGGAGCTCACACATACTTATGAGAGACTCTGGGTATAATATTCTGTGAATGAATGTTTGTTTTTTGAAAACCTGTCTCTGAAAGTGGCCAGAGACACATTGCTCACGCGTTGGCTGCTTCTGAGCAGAGCAACCGTTGATGGACATCATGGATAAGTAGACTAACTGACAGATGGATTGGCTGATTGTTAAAATCAAGTTGATGAGCAGATGTTTCCCCCCTACTCTTTTCTGGTTCTTTCTTATTACAGTAAATCCCCCTTCTTTTTTTTTGGAAATTGTACCTTGTGCACCCTCACAACCAGAGATTGTTTATCCAGAATATTGTTTTTCTGCAAACAAACCTGGAGTTTTCGCACTGCCAAAGGTAACAAAGAATGAACTGAAATGAACTGTCTGGGCACTGATAGTGAGTCATATATCAATTCACAGCCCTTCGCTGGAAAAGGAGGGTTTTTTTTTTCTGAGACGTGTGATGTTTGAGCTGTTGAGTTGTGAGTAGTGTGGGGGGTTGCTTTCAGGTGGCCCACAGGCTGGCAGCACATTCCAGACTAAATCAAGTTTGGCATGTTGGCCCGGGCTAAACTGAAAGAGGAAAAGTGCTGTATTTGGATTCAGTCGCTGTAGTGAGTGTAGGCAGGCCAGCCAAACTTATTGGAATTTTTGCACAGCCTCATTCACTACCCAGTCACCTTTAATTAGTCAACAGGGACTGGTGGCATTTTAAATATGAGTGCATTCCATGTTTTTTAACGATCTCTAGCTTAACCAGTTAGCTTAAAAATGCACAGGTAAAACTGGTGACAGTGGCTCTACAGTGCGCTTCCTGCTCTAGTATGGACGCCATTAAATCAACACTTTTGCACTGATTACACTGGTATTTATTCACAATGCCAGATTCGACAGCAGCTTGACAGCCAACACGTCAGTTTCCATTTTGTGTGGAGTATACTGTTGGCCTGACACAGTGCCATTTTTCCATACAAAGCAGGATGCATGAGAGGATACTAGCCCCGGTGCCACATCTGTTCACCGCACCTAGAATTCAAAGTGACATAGCTGATTGCAGATCAGCACCTTCACTGTATTTCTGTTTCCTCCACAGAGTCTGCTGTCTGTCCATGACACTGTGGCACAGAGGGACTTTGAGCCGATTCTGCCACCATTACCTGACGATGTGCTGGAGGAGGACAAGGACGCAGTCAAAATTGTCAGTCTGGTCAAAACCAAAGATCCCCTGGTCAGTGAACTTGTCTTCATGTGTCAGAGGTCAAGTTAAAAATTAGATTTTTCCCCTGGCTTAAAGGTTCAGTGTGTAGGATTTAGGGAGATATAGTGGGAGAAATGAAATTTAATATTCATTCATTCATTTTCCGTAACCACTTATCCTGTTTGGGGTCATAAGGGGGGCTGGAGCCTATCCCAGCTGACACTGGGCAAGAGGCAAGGTACACCTTGTTCAGGTCACCAGACTATCACAGGGCTGACACATAGAGACAGACAACCATTCATGTTCACATTCACACCTACGGACAATTTAGAGTCACCAATCAACCTGCATGTCTTTGGACTGTGGGAGGAAACTGGAGTACCTGGAGAAAACTCACGCTGACACGGGGAGAACATGCAAACTCTGCACAGAAGGGCTCCCCCACCCGGGTTCAAACCAGGGAACCCTCTTGCTATGCACCACCATGTTGCCAGATTTATAATATTATATTAACATTAACTATTTTTTCATGAGTGTATCATCACCCAAAACTAAGAATCACTGTGTTTTTGTTACCTTAGAGTGAGTCGTTTATATCTACATAATGAGCGGGTCCTCTTCCACTGAGTCCACCATGTTGTCATACAGTAGCCCAGAATGGACAAACCAACATTGGCTCTAGATTGTATCTCTCCTACATGCCAGGCACATGGAGAAGTTTAAGATGACTGCAATCTGCAACCCCACCTCTAGATGACACTAATTACTAAACATGAGACCAATGATTCGCAACCATTTTCCATTTTCTAATTCACAATGAAAATAAATTGAAATTTGTTGTCTTGATGTAACTTGTTTATCAAAAACAAGTGCCAAGAGAGGATCCCCCACACCCCCAGCGGAGGTCCAGGCTAAGTCCTGAAAGTTCTCAAATCCTAGAAAAGCCCCTGCATACACCTAACCCCTGCAGGTCAAAGTTTACTTTGTTTTAGCCATCAACATAAATTCATGTATTGATGTAAAACCACATTGCATATTCCAGTGCATTCCATAAATAAAACATTACAGACCTGTTGGAGGACGAGGGCCAATTCAGGATCAGTTTTAAATCCTTTCAAATCCCACAATTCTTTCCATTTGTTGAATGACTGACCAAAGTTGACTCATGATGTCTATCATTGCCTCTTTTAGCTTTTTTTGTTTTTGTTTGTGTTCTTTGGTCAGTTCTTTTCTTTTTCTCTTTGCTGATCCTGCCCCCGTATAAAACACAACTACAACATATAATGGCAAAATTAAATTCTCTACAGAAACATCTCCTCCTGCTTCCTCTTAATTGTCTAACGTACGACTCACCGCCATATAAATGAGTAGTTTGACATTTTGGGAAACACACTTATTTGCTTTCTTGCTGAGAGTTAATGAGAGGATACAGTACCGCTGCTGAATGGACAGCTACACCGCAGACAGTTAGCTTAGCTTATAAACAACTAGCCTGGCTCTGTTAAGAAGTTTTAAGATTTTTTTTACATTTTCATTTCATATTTTATTTTCTTGACACAACCGTGATCAGATATAACATAATAACTATTAAGTTTTGGCCCAGTCACTTGCAGAAAAATGTTTGCATTTTACATTTCTGCAAACCACAGATATGTTACATCTGTATCTTGACATCAAGGCGCATGCCAGCGATGTTTGAGCCACAGAACCTTGGCGTTTTTCACTGACACATTTTGGCGTTTCCCAGCTGCATTTGTGGCACCAAACCTGTGTGTTTTTCACTGACATACAGTAGCATTTTCCAGCAGTGTTTGAGCCACTGAAACTGGGTGTTTTTCACCAACTTGTCCCTGCTTTTACAGCGACTATTGTGCCCCAGAACATGGGTATTTTGAGCTGAAATGTCTTTTCCAAACCATAACCAAGTCATTTTTGTGCCTAAACTTAACCACACTTCACTACAGTGTTGTTGAGAAACGGAAGGTTTCAACAAATCAACTACGAAAAACAAACATTTGTGTTGGTATTGGAGGTGCCAGGCCAGTTGTTTTCCACTACTTCCAACCTCCATGATAACCCCCTGCTGGCTCTGGCTGGATATCTGTGTTAGTGTACGGACATGAAAGTGGTGTCAATCTTCTCAGCTAACTATCAGCAAGAGAGCAAATAATTATATTTCCATATGGCTCTAAAAATGCAACTGTTCTTTACTGCCTGTCAGTCTGTTTCTAATTTGGTCTACCTGGCCTTGTAATGCACACAAAACAAACACAAATCTATTTAAGTTAAGTTAAGACAACCATGTAACAGGGCAACTGCACTGAGAAATGTGTAATTTGTCTGGCCACAATATCTGACATAGAGTACACAGACGGTTCAAAGCAATAAACATATCCAAGAGACAACTGAATTTTTCTCTGGTGACTGAATTTATGTCATGTTGTCAAACTGCGTGACTGCTAAAGCCGTGTACGCCAACGTGTAGCAGCACTACAGGCCTCGGAATGACAGCCAGGAATTTACAGAGTCAATTCTTCCACATCTTTGTTGCCATTTATCTCCTGTGACGCACAACATAGTTTCAGTATTGTTGTGCGCGTTTGTGTGTGTGCATATTTATGCATGTGTCTATGCATATCCACGGCAAAACTATGCCTCTTAATGAGTCCTTTAAAGCCGTATTGAGCATTAAAATGGATTGGGATAATTTCTGTTCCTGATGTAAATCAACTTGTTTCAAGGTCTTTAATCATACCTCATTTCCTTGATACTACCGGAATGATCTGTCTTATTCCACCTTGCTCCAGCCATTGTCACTTAGCTCTGGAAATTTCCTGGATCAAGTGAATCTGGACTGAAAACAAACCAAACTACAAAGAGCACATCCCTCTGCCAAGGCTGCAAAATCCTCTGAATTTGTTATTTTAATAATAAAACAAAGTTCCGATTTTTTTTTTCTTTTCTTGATCTGCACCTGGATCAAGAGCTCTATGAAATACATATAGTGATGGACAGCTACGGGAAATATGTGCCAGATTTTTGTTCTACTCAAGCAGATCCAGTAGTTCATTAGAAAATAGGATGAATGTTCAAAAAAATGCCCTCACTCACAAAGTTAAAATTCCTTTAAAAAAATCCTGGATCCACATCAAAAAAGCATTTGTGTCTTAGCCTGTGGCTTCACTTTCCACCAAATTTCACTGGAATCTGTGAACTGTGAAGTTTTTTAAATATAGACAAGCGCCAAAGACATAACCCCTATGGTGGCGATGAGTTACATCTTTTAAAAGAAAAATAGGGGTAAATATGAGAATAATTTCCTTAATGATGAACATTTTTGCAGCATTCGTGTGTCAGTGTTTGAGCTTAGAGAGTGGAATGTGCTTTGGACCCAATAATAGAGACCATACTTTTGTATTGATCCCAAAACTAGATTGGAAGGGGACTGACCTTTTTCTGACATGGCCTCTTTGATCGATCCAGCATGTTCCCGTTTTCCAGACAACAGGGTTACACCCGAGCGTGAGCTGATTGTAGTTAGCTACATAAGATGCTCTTTCCATTGCGATTTGCTCCACATCAATAACATCTGTTGAAAATAATGCTGATTTGGATAACCTTTTCCAGCGCTTTGTGTGTTACATGAAGGCAGCCGGCTAAATGGTCCCGTCTTGATACAAATAACCTTCACTGGAATGACTCTGAATAAGAAGCTTGTCTGGACTGTAATAAAACCAACATGTTATTTTCGCTGTCCATCGCCTGACCTCTTTGCCTCTGTGCATGTGCTCGTCTGTCATCCTTTAATCCACTAATCACCATACTCAAGGGGGCCACAATTAAGAGGGATAAATCCTCCGGGGCCATTGTTGTGGCGAGGATCATGAGAGGAGGTGCAGCCGATAAAAGCGGTAAGCTCTTATTTATTACAGTTTTGTCACTCTACACTTTCCTGTGCCTTTATATTAGGCCGGAGTAACATTATGCTGTCACACAGTACATGTACATGTTACAGAGAGGAGCATGTGGTGCAACTTTCCATTTGTATTTCCAACACTTTGAAGGCCTGATCCATGAAGGGGATGAGCTGAAAGAGGTGAATGGAGTCTCTCTGGAGCGCAGGAAGCCAAAGGAAATCCTTCCTCTTCTGGTTAGTCTCTCCTCCATACTTAAGTCAGATTTTTACACAGAGATCCCCCAATACTGCAGACAAAGACCCTACATTGTGACACCTTTGTTGTTTTTTTATACATAACCAAACAATGCCGGCATAATGCCACCCCAGTGTTTGATTTTGGATGGCATGCCAGCATTTCAGTAGCAAAAGAGGCCTGACAGACATGACCATGGATGTATTAAGAGAATTGATACAGTGTTGGAGACGAATCCCTGCGCATTCCTATGAAAGTTGCCCAGGGATTTATGACACCAGATACGTTCAGCTGCCATGTATAAAATTACCCAAATGTTCTGACGCTGCTTCAACTTGAGACTTTCGCCAGCCGAGCCGGCTACTTACGGTTCAGTGTTCCGTTAACTTGAATGGAGATAAAATGATTTAATCATGCAGCCCTTCTTGACTTACCAAAAGTTATCTGACTGCATTAAATTCTGATAGTCAAATGAGTCATTTTGCAGGGGTTCATTAATTCATTTTTCCATAACCACCTATTCTGTCAGGGGTCACGGGGAGGCTGGAGCCTACCCCAGCTGACATTGGGCTAGAGGCAGGGTACACCCTGGACAGGTCACTAGACTATCACAGGGCTGACACATAGAGACAGACAACCATTCACACTCACATTCACACCTGCGGGCAATTTAGAGTCACCAGTTAACCTGCATGTCTTTGGACTGTGGGAGGAAGCTGGAGTACCTGAAGACAATCCTAGGGTTCGAACCCCCAACCCCAGGTTTAAACCAGGAACCTGGCTAACCACTGTATCACTGTCCTTCGCGGGGGTTGTGATGCTAAAAAAAAAAGTTATCCACTGATTTGCAGACGTGTCTTTCACCATGAAGTCAATGGGAAAAAGACTTTTTGGGCCAACTGGCGTCACATGATGGATGTAATTACACTGTTTGGCCACAAAGAAAATTGGCTTCAAAGCCTGGTGCCCTTCCTGGGGGCCTAGGTGTGACGCACAGCATCAGTATCTAGTGTGACATGTAACATATGCGTTGGGCAGAGCCCTCTAAACAATTACATAACATGGCAAAAACAATAATTTACTGTCCATTATATGGCTGTTGTTCTCATCTTCTGCTTGGACAGTGAAGAGCTCCCAGACCTCATTGTTTTCTCAATTTGTGGACATTTTCTTCCTACAAACAGAACTGTGGCTAAAAAAATCTGCCTAGAAAGAGTATTTATTTACAGCTTGCTTTTCCACATCACTTTTTGTACAAATTAAAAAATGAGATAAACATGTTAATTACTAAATTTATAGGCGCTGGTAGGCTGACTTTGTTACCTTTGGACAGAACTGTTCACCAGAAAAAATGTTGGCATTGTACATTTCTGCAAACCACAGACATGATATGTGGCAGATGTGTTGAAACTTTACGACTCTTTACATCTCAACAATGTTGTAGTTAATATTTGGTTAGGTTTAGGCACAAAAAACACTTGGTTGTGATTAGGAAAATATTGTGTTATGGCTCAAAATACATGGTTTTGGTAGCACAATCCCCACAGGAAACTCAGTGATGTCTCTGTAAAAGCAACTGCTTCTCGTGGCACTATCCCCCCTGGGATCACAGCGACAGGTCACCACAAAACAACCACGTTTTGTGGATAAAAAGTCCCTGAAAATGCAGTGATAACTCGCTAAAAAACAACTGGTTTTGTTGTTTGTTGGTCTCTCCTAGTGGTCTGCAGCTTGGCAGGGGTCTCGCCAAGTTGTCACAACTTTAGAAACGTTTATTTGATACATATGAAACGTGCAAATGTAACATATACGTGGCTTGCAGAAACTTACATTGCCAACATTTTCTTCTGGTAACAGGGCTGTTTGGGCAGAACAAAGTGAGCTGTTTCCTCCTGCTTCCACTCTTTATATTAGCTTCATATTTAGCAAACAGACATGAGAGTGGTATCAATCTCAACTAACTTTCCTAAAATGTCTTTATACTCCTTGTCACTGCTTTCACACAGGCTTGTGCTCAGGGCGAGGTTACATTCAAGATCATTCCTGCCTCCTCCAAGGAAGAAATGTCCTCAAATAAGAAGGTATGGTGCGTATGAACTACACATATATTCGTGCTGTGTATCTTTTACGTTAGCATGCAATCTGGCTGCACGGTGAAAGCTGCCCAGCTGGTTTCAGTAAAAAGAGATGAAATCAGGGGTATCTTGTGTGTTTGGTTATATTTTGTGTTTCTGCCACGGTGCTGTCACTACAGCAGCGCACTGTCAAGAAGTAAATTTGGATCAGACAGTCAAGGATTAGACACTCACCAACTTCATTACCATTCACAGATTTTTATAATTTAACCACTTGATTTTTTTTTTAAATTATTTTAGCACACATCACGTGTGTTGAGCCTCATCAGGTAAGTTTTACTGTGAATCTATGCACCTTCTGTGGAAAAAAAATCAAGCTCCACCATCGTCTTTGTTTAGGAAGGAGGCCACTACCACCACATACATGAAGTGGATGTCCAAGCTGGAAACTGTTAGAGCAGGGAGCATTTGCGATGGATTAAGACAAATTATATTCTATGATCATGGTCATTTCTCAAAAAATGACACCAACATATGTGAAAGAGCACCAGACAAAGATGTTGTGTCCATTGCTAGGAAACAGGAGGTCACAGAGCGGCAGTAGGAAAAGAGAAGAATGAATAAATTGATTACATAAGAATATGTATTTTCCTTCGACACTTGTTTGACTGAAATGATTTTTGTATTTCCTCAGCTGTTTATGCGAGCTCTTTTTGACTACGATCCCGCTGAGGATCCCACCGTCCCATGCAAGGATGCAGCAGTGGCTTTTAAAAGAGGCGACGTCCTCCAGATTGTCAGCATGGAGGACGACACCTGGTGGCAGGCCTGTCACCTCGGGGACAGAGACACTCGGGCAGGGCTCATTCCCTCACAGCAGCTCCATGAGAGGTTGTCATTATATGCTCTTTAGTCAATAGCAACATGTTCACTCATTTAAGTCAATGAGAACATTTACATGCACACGAATATTCCATTATTCTTTCAAACTTGCCTGATGTCACACAGAATTGTCAGCTTGATACACTCCACTTCCATCTTCAGTCTGACATTTTGCCCACTCTAAGGGTGCTTTCACACCTGCCTGCCCTATTTGGTTCGGTTCAATCAAACTCAAGTTTGTTTGCCCCCTACGTGCGGTTTGTTTAGGCAGGAGTGAACACAGCGATCACACTTGGGTGTGCACCAAAACAACTGGACTGAGACCTTCTTGAAGAGGTGGTCTCAGTCCAGTTACAACAGAACTGTGCCTTAATATGCACATTCAGCACATCCAATGCATCAAAACATTGTTTTCTAGTTGGAGCCGCGCCTCGTTTTCAAACTGTATGGTTTGACTAAAATGCACAAGAAAGCTGACACACGACTTTTGCCTGTTCACAGTCAGCTCCATTCATTGTCATGGATATATCGTACACCAGGGATGTCCAAACTTTTTTTAATGGGAGCCAGATTAGATTATGTTATAAATACCTGGAGGGCAGCTGCTTCTCTCATCATATGGGTTATTAAAATAAAAATCACATACAAATGAGACTTTCCACTGCTCCTGAAAGCGGCAGCGCTTGCTGTTGACTCCACACTTCTTTACTGTGGCTATGTCTTCTACCAAGCAGTAAAGGTCTGCTGTTAGGTTACCGTTCGTGTGCTTGTTTATCGTCCGTTTATGGAAACATATTAGTTCCACCTGTGTAGTTTCTTCTTGGTGTCTAAAACTGTAGGATAGTCCTGCTATCGTGAGGTGAACAAAAACAATGGCAAGTGATCTATTGGATTAATCAATATTGTGTAGAGGACAACATATAGTATATTTTGAAAGACAAGCCATGGATTATTAAAAAATGGGTCTGTGGGCCAGGATTGGCCCCCGTGCCAGACTTTGGACATGCCTGTTGTACATAAACCAACTAGCCAACAGTTTGTAAGGCTGGGGTAGAGATGCATGCCCAAAAGAAAATCCACCATTCCTTGTCGGAAGAAGAAAAACACTACTTTTAAACTTTATGAAAGACTTGGATATGAACTTTTTTTTGGCTATTGTATGTCCAAATATTGCAAGGCCACTGTTTCAAGAAGGTGGTTGAAAGAATAAAAGTGGAAGGCTGTGTTCACAAGTCTGCTACCAGTGGAAAACTTAAAAAAACTCCTACTTTGACACCAAGAAACAAAATGGCACAAGCAGCTCCAGCTGTTCCACCTTTCTATATTTTGAGACGTTGAGCGACATGTCAGACCACATTAATCAGAGTATGCAGAGCTGCATGTAAATGGGAATATCTGTGAAGTATTTATTTTCATTCGCCATGTAAACAGCTTAGTAGGAATATTGTATTTTTCAGAATAAGGGCAAAAAATAATATTTTGTGCATGTAAATGTGGTTACTGTCTTTTAAAGGAGCATTGTGTGAGATTTAGGGAGATTTAGTGGCATCTAGTGGTGAAGATTGTAGACTGCGACCAGGTGAAACTTCTCCTGGTCAGAATTCCTTCAGTGTTCATTGTTACCCGCAGAGGTCTCCTTCTCTCAAAAACAGACAGACCTTGGATCTCATTTATAAAACAGTACATTAAATCATATTAAAAATGTATGAACGAACAAAAGCCAGAAATCATTCAATAATTTCTACAGTCAGACTTCCACCTCACTGTCTACCTTGCCAACTTAAAACAGTGTTTTTCCAACTGTCTAGTAATGGAGGGGCTGCGAACTATGGTGGCTTGTGCAAAAATGCATATGGCTCTATGAAGAGCCAGTGTTTGGTTTGTCCATTCTGGGCTACAGTAAAACAAACTGTGCAACATGTCGATCTCCATAGACGAGGACCTGCTCCCTACATAGATATAAACGGCTCATTGTAAGGTAACAAAAACACAGCTATCCTTATTTTCAGGTGATTATACACTAAAGAAAACATACTTATATTGTATTAAATTTCTGCCAATATATGTACCTAAATCCTACACACTGGACCTTCAATATCTATAAGACATTTTGATTAAATAGTTCTTTGACTAAGCCTTGTTTTGTTTGGCTTCCTACAGGAGAGTTGCACTGCAGCGACCTAAAGCCCTGTTCAAGCCTCGACGAGTCAAACCACCAGGTGACGAGCCAACATTTGCCTGTAAAACCACCACACCTGAAAAGAATAAAATCCTTTTAACACTTTCCAGTAAACTTATCAGAGGTCCTTCAGCACTGAGCTGAGAGGTGACAGGTCATGTCTGAAGATCATGGTCAAGGTCGAGGTCATGGGTGAGCTCTGCTGCCCTCCCGTTGTACTCACTGCTTTTGTTTTCTCCACATGCTCCACAGATGAGGGGGAAGGTACCTTCTGCTTGAATTTCCTTTTGAAAACTTACCTTGAGGATAATTTATATGATATAATACACGTGTATGTTTAAGCTTTTGGTTTGGGGCTTTTAAAGATTTAAAGACGTGTGTTATCCAAAAATAATAATCATGTAATGCTCCCCGCACCGTATTTCCACAATGGCGAGGATTCTGTAAAATGTTCCTCTAAGCAGGTTTATAGTATCTGGCCTGCTGCAGTGTGCTAGTTTTTCGCTAACAATCAATTTGTAAGAGTAAGGTAGTCATTAATATTACTAAATTGTGGATATCATTTCTAAATAAAACTATTATTAGAATTTCCGAAGCAAAATATTAAGACATTTGGGTCAGAACATATGCTAATACTTTTGAGTATGAAATTTCAGAGCAACGCACATGTCATCCCCTTGTGGTTTCTGTCCATGATTTCCTCACTCTTTCCTCTTCTCTCTTCCTGTTTTTCCAGTCATGGAGGATGTCGACTACGGAGCTATAACAGGGATCCACATTGGTGAGATGTTTGACTTTTTCCACTAAAATCCCTCTGATACTGGAGAAGGGGCCAGTGTGATACAAGACAACACAGCTCAGGCCAATTGGACATGACAGCTCACAACAACACTCATATGTTGAATATAATACTGAACTAAGCAATAAAAATAGATGGAGAAAAACCAGCAACAAAAGGAGACCCTGGTTATATTTACAGAACAAACCAGTTCGTATGATGATGTAGTTTTGTGGTTTGGGGATTTGAGGGAGAGGACTACAACAGCAAATGTGGTTTTAGCCTTCCCATTTATCCCATTTGTCTTGATCTCATGGATTGGATATGATGTGCATGTGTGTGTTTGCGTGTGTGCATATGAGCGGTGCAGGATGTTCATATGGGGGCGTGCGCTTATGGCTGATTGTAAAAAGGCTCCCTATGTCTGTACAAGGCAAGGTAATTACAGATGTTGCATTATATCAGTTCCAAAAGTCATGTGCATTTAATAATGTGCATTTCATCTTATCTCAGGCCAGCTTCCACCTGATGACGTGGTGCAGACTCTGTGTTTCCTCTTTGTCTGGCATGTAAACCTTTATCGATGCTGCACGACCAAATGACTGCATGCGGAGTAATCAGAGGAAAGAGTGAGTGAAAGAGAAATGACATAGTGGAGTATTATGTGTAGATACACGAGCAGAGGCAGGGTGAAGGAGGGAAAAAATGGCTTACAGCTTCTACTCACTTGTCTCCCGGTGATTTTTTTTTTTTTTAGACGTGGTTCTCTGTCCTTTAAAAGAACAGTTTCACATTTTGGGAGAATGAGACGAGAAGATTGAGACCTCTCTCTTGTGTCTGTCCGGTAAATATTAAGCTTAAAGGTCCGGTGTGTAGGATTTAATAACTTTGTTTTAATTTGTTTATAATCACCTGAAAATCAGAACTCATGTGCTTTCCTTACCTTAGAATGAGTCGGTAATATCATCATATGGAGCGGATCCTCTTCCACAGGCTCCGCCATCTTGTTTCTGAGGTAGCCCTGAACAGACAAATCAAACATTGGCTTTAAGGCCCAGACACACCAAACCGACTTCAGGGAACTAGAGGCGGCGAAGGCCCCCTGCTGCATCACCTGACGTCGCCATCATGAACGCACTGCAAAGATGACAGCCGATGGTCTTATATTTCCATCTCACTCCACTACCTTCATTTTGACTGTTCTACCTTCACCTCCTTAGCAGTCTCACGTCACCTGCGACTTGGTCAAAAAAGTTGCACACACAAAGACTACAGCCGTCAATCAACTAGCATGTACATTCTGCACCTGTGTGAGAGGAAATACTTCTCAACACCAGCAGATGGCGGCAGTCTGTATTCGTCATTCAAAAAGGGAAAGCAATGGACAGTCGTGACGCTAGTTTGCCAGTTAGCATATTAACAACACAACCCAATGTTGAAAGAAGAAAGCATATTTACTGTGTGTCAGTGGACAATAACACAAACCATCAGGAAATGTTTCTGCTAAAGAGCTCAGTGGCGAAAGAAAAATAATCTTTCCTTATGAAACAAGATTGTTTTAGTCTCTCATCCTCTTGACGTCAGCTCTTTGTTTACTTTCCTCACTTCTGTTTCTTTTCTCATGTGCCGAGCTGAAGTGCCAATCAGAGTGATTTCATTTCAACATGCTGAATTGGCGGGAAAAAAGCTGACTAGCGCCAACGAGGGCTAATAGTGCAAGACGCACTGCACTGACGAGGGCAGCAGACGCTCACCAAAAGCCCAACTGTGACTGATGGCCAACTGCTGGCTTGGTGTGTTCATTTTAGTCAGACTGACACAATAAATCGGCTCTCTCTAATGTCATGTAAATTTTCTGAGCGAGACAGGGATGACTCTTAAAAGGTTACAGCTTACATCACAATCTTTCATAAATGACATTTTCAGGAAGGTACACTCTGCTGTCGGATTGTCGTTGTTTTCCCACTAACCACGAGACAGATCACAACAATTCACATCAGGACAGCATAAACAGTTTCCAACCTGCAGGTGCAGTAAGTATTTACTACAGTGGTGCACCATTCTGAAACTGTAAAAGCTCCCATTTTTGCATGATGTTGCTTTAAGGCTCATATCGTATCATCTTGACATGAAGGGCCCGTGCCCAGTTCATGACATACATCGCATGTATTCACTCTGCTCGCAGTCTTATCTCTGCTCTCCCTCTTATTTCATGCTGATGAGTGAAGCAGAAATAGCTTGCAGGATTTCCAAAACTGTACTAAGGTTTTACAGCTGAGAGCATTTTCAGTAACACATGATGAATTTCACTGCCAGATATACTTAAGATTGACAATGATGATATGTTTTCCTCTAGACCATATTCCATTCTGGGAAATAAGATTTCTGCTTAGCTGTATAGCGCAGGTTTCATGCAGTGCTGTATGTATTACTCTTTGACATTTCTAAGTGAAATCATCAGTTTAACTCCCATGTAAACAAAAGTTTGAGATCTCAACTCGCAGAGCCATGTTTCTTAGAATGAAGCCCGGAGAGGAAATGGACAGATATGCTTACAAAGTGAAATTACAGCTGACGTCAAAGAGAGCCTGGCAGCATCACTTAGCAGCAGTTAACATCATGAAAGAGAGCGAGCCTGCCAAGATGGGCCAGACCACAGTCGCATGGCAGACGCTGGCTGTCAGACGGCCTACAAGCGACGCGTGACAGACTGAGTTGTCGTCTGCTGACTGAGATTTGTGCTGTTCAGGATGGCCCTTGACAGCAGAGTTTGGGTGGCAGTGCTGATGGTTTCTTCTGATGTTGTTGTGCTCCTCTATTCTGCCTCACTTTGCTACTTGAGCTCTCCCTTCTGTCATGGTCATTGTTGTCATCTGGGTATCTCTGATGCTTTTTAACAGTGTTTAAGAGTTCAAGTCTAATTGGTGATGCCTAAGTGATGCAATAAGGGAAGTAGTGTTGGTGAATTGTGGAAGTAAATTAAACCTAGAATGACACAAGCCTTACACTCCTGTGGAGGTTTTGGTCGTAATACAGGTAAATAATATGAAAATGGATCAAACAGACCGTCATGATGGATAAATATAGCCTGGGTTTGGCAAACTTGTGTCAAGATACAAACTTCTCTTTCTTCTGTGGGTCCAACTTGGTTTGAGAATAACATTAATAGGTTTTTTCTTTAAACCAGCCCAGTCTCCACAATAAAATGTTGGCATTGTAGCATATGTAAGCTGAGTTTCTCATCAGGAGGAGGAGGGGAAGGTGGATTGCATGACACCTAGGCAAGACCACTGTTCAAGACCAACAAACAACAAGAGTGGCCGTGTTTGTAGCAACCAAACCGGGTATTTTAAGCTAAACTACAATCTAGCCAAGTGGTTTTTCATTGCCTGAACCTAACCACACTTAACCACAGCGTTGTTACAATGCAAAATTTAAGATTTAAACATAAAGGAACGTAAAGTTTCAACATATTGGCTGCATATGAGACATGTTAATGTGACATACCCGTGGTGTGCAATGTGGGGATGCGCAATAATATCCGCAAGTCATCCGTATTGGCTGATTTTGGCTTTAAAATGAACTATTAGAATCAGCAAAAATGCTTTTTCTTATTTTGCACAATGAATGAATATTACATACATTGAAAAGTATTGTACTTCATGTCTCCATCTGCTGGTGGGCCATCATGATAAGAGTATGCATGTATAATATTATGTTAATTCCACTTCAGAGGAGACTTGATGATCACTAAAATTAGGAGGGGAAAAAGTGGATGTATCAATATCAGTTATCGGCCAAATAAGTTGTTATTTATCAGAAAAAATCCAATATCGTGCATCCCTAGCACAATACCAGTATTGATTCGATGGTGATTGGGTTGGTTAAAGGTCTAGTGTGTAGAATTTTGTGGCAACTAGCAGCGAGGTTGCAGAACAGTTTTCTCATGTGCCAAGCGTGTAGGAGAACCACAGTGGCTAATGTGAAAACTGCAGTGGCCCAATCTAGGGTCAGTGTTTGATTTGTTCGTTCTGGGCTACTGTGAACAGACACAGCAGACTACCATGGGAGAAGACCTGCTCCATGTGTAGATATAAACAGCTCATTCTAAAGCCAAGTTCAGACCATGATTCACGACGAGGCAAAACTGTGTTAGAATGTTGCAGAGAAAAGTTGCAGCGGTGTGTACTGGCCGGTCTGAGCTCGACTCATGCTGGCTGGTGGTGTCACCTGCAACTCAGCTGGTCAAAGGTAAGGCACATCACCTGTTTCAACAGTGAATCGGCTTGTAGTGAAGTCTGAGACAGATGCTCCATCACCACTGAGCCCTCTGTTTCCATCCGAAACGGGCACACCGTGAGGTGGGTCGATGCTTCTGCTTGCTGTATGTGCTAATGCCCCGCCCACACACACACACACACACACACACACACACACACACACACACACACTTTCATTGACTGATTAGTTGGAGCTGGTTATTTATATTATTGTGGCATATTTATTATAAATTCAGTCTATCTGATGCTCATTTTGTCTCGATTGTATCCTGAGATTTGAATAACATCAGAAATAAGAAATTAAAAATTATTACAAAATAGTATTATTTTTGTATTACAAAATACAAAAAAATGTGTTTATTAAAAAAAAAGACAGAAGTAGAAACATAGCTCAGTTAATTATCTTCCTCCTTATGTTTTGTTCACATTACCAGCGACTGCAACAGGCTGCAAGTCATTTTCAATGGAAGCTGTTGACATGAAGCTACAAACTGACGCCCGTCACTTGTCACTGCGGACAGGTGACACATTACGAATCAAAGTAGAGCTGGCCTCAACTTTTTTCAGAGCTCCAGTGACGCGGCGAATCGTCAACCAATCATGTTTTTGTTTCAAACTACAGTACTACTTTATTTAGTTTGGTTAGTTGACGCTATGCTAGCTTTTTGTGCATTGCTGCATAGGGATTCCATAGGGCAGCAAAATGTGGTATTAAGATGGGGCTCGGACATTTATCAAAATTACAGACATTTTTTGAATAAATACAAACTTAATTCAACATTTAGTTGAGGTGCTTTGTGGCGAGCAGCATATACACACAGGCCCATGACGACACATCTACAGTAACGAGCATTTGAGCAACACTTCAGCGACTGAATGAAAATGTAGCTGGTCTCGCTGTTGCGTTGTCACTCATAATGTGAACACAGCATCAGTCTTCCTCATCCTCCGAGACCTCCTCTGTTTATATTAGACTTATTAGTAGTAGACATTGGCCAGGTGGCCAGAAATATGACTCTGAATGAATTGCTTAGTATTTGTGTAAATTGGTAGGAGATTGTTTCCCAACACATTCACCACATCAACCTTATGAGCCAATATTATGACAGATGTTGTGTTGCTCTGCATTTAAGTTGCCAAAGAAATCAATGAATATGGATTATAGGACTGTCACAATGAGGCTAGGCTTTCAGTATTTCACCTGGCAGGTCTAAAGTCCCTGTCTCTCCTTTCCAGCTGGTTTAAGGCGGAGTTTCCGACTCGGGAGAAAGAGCAGTTGGACCAGAGAAGCAGCGCGGTCCAGGAGGTGGAGCACAGGGGTGCATGGCTCATTTCGCCCCCCTACCTACATAGAGGTGATCCCCTACCACAGAGACCCTAAGGACAGACACCGACTGGTTGTTCTGGTTGGTACGTATGAGCTAAACCAGAAAGAAACCTGCGACATCATCTGTGGAGAGTTTGTTTTGAGAGCACAATGCCTAAAGCTTACTCATATATTTGCAGCTAGTGTGATACTGTATGTGTAACATTGCTATATGCAAAGCTTATACCCTTGTAGTCACTGTGATGGTATGTGCAGTTTTTGTACATTGTGTGCTCTGTTTTATATCAACCCTCTGCCATTTTTTATCCACGCAAAAAATGAAAATCAACATGATCCCATTCACTAAAAGGACAGCATTATGGAAGCTGTTGTTGATCAAGAGAAAACCTAATGCATTGATGAAGATTTATGTCCCCACTCTTGAACGCAAGAACAATTCTTTCCCATCAGACCCACGTAAACACTGTCAGAGAGCTCCAAGTCAGAATATATTGTGTTCTCTTAAGTTACCAAGTGGCCCACCCCAGATTCACTACGTCTGCCAATCCTGCAGGCCTGCTCTATGTATTTTTGAGCTATATCTCTCCCCGGGGAATTTCACATTGAGCCCTGCTGAAGGTCTTTTTAATGTCATACTATGATACAACTGTAGGTCATCTGTGACCGAGGCAAATCTAAGAAAGAAGAGAAGGGCAGAGATGCACAGAGAGGGACAGAAAACTGAAAGTGGAAACACAACGAGCTGAAGAGGTGCAAAAACAAAGCCAGATAGAGAGGAGATAAATGATAGGTGAATGGAGAGAAGGGGGATGAGCGGATTGCGAATAAGATCCCTCACAATGTCAGCCAAGTGCTCCATCATCAAACTGGAACAGTTAAGACAGCTTGGATTTAGATTTAGACCTCTTTAATTGAGTTGGAGCTTACCTCGACTCTGGATTACATTTTACTGTCTGCTGTGAAGGCTCTTCATTGACCGGAGGTCATCATTAAGAATATATAGCTTATTGGCAATGAGGGTTATAGACGGGAAAACCAAGACCTGGATCGCTAAAACAGGACCAGCTGGATAATGTTTGACCAGGTTGGAAATATATCCGTTTTTGTTTGCATTGCGTACGCACTTTGACTGAAACAAAAGACCGTTATGCCCCAGGAAAGTTGGTGAAAGCAACTGCCAGCCACTCTAAGCCGTACAGATCGTGTAACTCCAGAAAAAAATAAAGGTCAGGAGAAAGTATCCGCGGAGCCTGATGATGCTCCTCTGCAGCCGTGTGGAGCAGCTGTGAAAGACATCAGCAGTGTAAGAGTGGAGAGTCTATAAACTTGATATTTTGTAATGTATCGAGCTCATGCAACGCTGTGATGGAAAAGGCAGGTATGTCAGGAATCCTACTTTCAGACAGCGCTCCATTAGAGTCTGATGCAATCTGGGGCTGCAGAAACCTGCTTCAGAAGAAAATCCCAGATGCTCCAGTACATGTGTGTACGCTCCATCCTGTGCGTCCTACACTATAATGACACCGATACCGTGTGGCTTCGCAGATGTCACGTTTAAATGTGATGCTATGGATTTTCCAGAGGGCACAGGAGCATTTAATGTTCAATAGAGTGAGGCCGGTTGGAGAATCATTTTCAGACTGAAATCAGTATGAAATCTGAGCTCTGTCTGTCTGACTTGCTCTCGCTCCCCTTCTCCCTCCCTGATGATAAAGACAGATGTGTCACCAGATCACTGAGCCCATTTGATGTCGGACTTGTCGTGAGGAAAACATTAGTACACACTGATATTGGGAATGAATATCCACATACAGAACACACTGTTTTGATCTTTGTCTCAAGGGCCCAGCGGCGTTGGCGTTAATGAACTGAAGAGGAGGCTCCTGATCTCCGATCCTGACCGCTATGGCGTCACCGTACCGCGTAAGACAGACATCCAAAAGTGTCACCTTCACCTCCCGCGCATGCACTGGTTTCTTGTCTTTTTACAGCTGTCCTCCCGTCCTGTCCTGTTCTTTCAGACACCACACGTGAGAAGAGACGGCAGGAGAACGAAGGCGTGGATTACCATTTTGTGCCAGTTCACATATTTGAAGAGGATATTCTCAATCATAGGTACATAAGCAGGTGTTGCTCTTGAGGTTTCTTTTCCCACGGTGTTAAAAATAGACCCACTCCTTCTTTCTCTTTCACGAGAGTTATGTCCACCATTTTCACTGCTGTCTGATTACCATTTCATGCTGTCTTACTGTATTTCCTCTCTGTTCCTGTTCCCATTTCTTTCTGCCTCCAGGTTTGTAGAATATGGGAGATATGGAGGACACTACTATGGAACGAGTGTAGACTCTGTGCACAGAGTGATGGCTGAAGGCAAGGTGTGCCTCCTTGATGTGCACCCTAGTGTGAGTATTTCAGATAAATTACAAAAGTGTTCATGGAGCACACTGAATACTTAATTAAACTTCTGAGTTGAGGCTCTACGTACGTGTCACCGTAGCCTGCCGTACACCTCCCAAGAAATACAACTACACATCACAATGACACAGACCTCCTATTTACTTTTGTAAACTGAAAACCATTTTCTTCAACAAAAACAAAGCTTTTATTTACTTTATTTTGCAGGGGAAAAAAACAATAAATTGTGAACACAGTCCCCACAAAATAGCATTTGAAGACGTGTGTGATTTATCCTGGCTTCAGGCGTCTGCTAGCCACTGGGATAAATTTATCCAATACAATGTAGGGCTGTACAACTGATCCAGTATTAATCATCATCACTATTTTGGCTTCCTACGATTAAATAACCATGATCTACTGAAATACTGACGTTTAAAATGCGTGCTCCACACATAGAAAACCCTCCTGCATATCAAGTCAAGCGCTACATAAACTAACAGCCAGCCTCCACTTTTCAAGAGACACCACGACATGCCACTACACCTGCACTCAACATTCCTAAACTCACCTGAAAAAAACACCACAATCTGCAGTACAATGAATGCATGAAGGCCAAGAAGAATAACGTTGCTAACGTCACCCACTGAATTCCCGTCCTTATCCAGCATCAAGCAAGTCAGACATCCTTAACAGTGACGCTGTACAGGACGTCACAGTATTGAGAGTGCATATACATATACAGCAGTGGATACGTATCCATAGAAGATGCACTGAATTCAGATGAAGACGAACCTTATTTTAAGTCTTATCTTGATGCAAACATTAGCCAAATTTCATTCTTTTGTTAAACACTTGCAGTTCCTCCCGGCTTCATATGAGAACAGGAGAAGTCCACTAGCTTCAAGGCTAATTTATGCAATGTAAAATATCATAGGCTTATGCTAATAACGTTAGCATGTTGTGTATGCGTGGAGACTGGATTGAGGGACGCACAGGAAAAGTGCAGGTGCAAGCTGTCAAGTACTGTATTAAATGTAGGGTACTGAAAGTGAAATTGACTGCAAATGATTAAAATATAATGCATTCATTTCATGTCATGTTTGGGGCCACCATTGGCCGGCCAGCCACACTTTAAGCAACAATGGCGTAAAACCTATGTGTAACTATAAATCAGCCCTGAGGGACTGCATGCTGCTGGTTTGTTGGGGTGCCTCGGCAGAGGGGGGATAGCACAAACCTTCACTTGTTATGACCTGCTAGTTAAGGTTCTCGCTTACAAGTAGGAACTGGGACTCCATGTGTATCAGAGGGAGCACACAGAGCTCTTCAGTCTCTGTATGTCAACAGGGGGAATTAGCAGTTACAAGTGCTGCAGTACATGAAGTCAATCCAAAATTTGGAAAAGGACGATAACATGCAAAACAAAACAGGCTGTTAATCCTCTACAAATCATTGCCTTTATATTATGGATATAGTCTGGATTCCTCATTCTGCAGAACACCAGCATATTGGGTTACAACATTTAAGATTATTCAACATTTAGGCCGATCCCCTGAAATCTTACTGTATTCCTTTAATGTGTCTACATTATTTGGACAGATTATTGTTCCATAAACATGTCTGCCTACGTCTGACCTCTCTCTTTTTTGTCATCACCACTACAGAAAATAAAGCATGTGTACACATCTGAATTCAAACCATACGTGGTGTTCGTGAAGCCCCCGCGCATCGAGGAGCTGCGCCTCACCAGGCGGAGAGCTAAATTCATCTGCGATGAAGACGACAAGAACTCAGTCAGGATCTTTTCAGTAAGAGACCCTATCACATAAACACACAAAACACACTCCACCAGGTACATGTGTGAAGGCAGGTGCTTGTTCCATGTCCTGTAACATGTGGGGCGGTGTGAGGTCAAACACCCTGACCTTAATGTACCCACCCAACTCCACAGACACGCAACACACCTCAACTCCCTCCCTCACGCACACACCTTGCCTTACACATGGTTGACCCTGTGGTTTGCATTAAAGAGACATTTAAGAGGCAGAGGGAGTTACAAGGCTGCTTAGTAGGTGGCTTCTTGTTCCATCACTGATGTAAAGGTGAGTACAGTTGATCGAGGAGATGTTACATCATGTGCAGTCTTAGTTTTGGCAGATTCTTACTAGTTGTAGTCACATTCAAGTCATTGTTATCCCTCATAGTTTTAGTCTAGTTTTAACCGACGATAATTTAAAACACATTAGTCTCGTTTTTGGCGACGAAAAGTCATTACATTTTAGTGCACCTCGCATTTTGCAACCTGCAAAACCTGTGATCAGGGCCTTAGTGATTGTCATTTGAAAAGCTCAAAATTTCACACCTAGGATTTGTCCCTGGAGTCACTGTACACTCTGACTTATCAGAAGCAGAAAAATAACTTTATTTTTCTATATGTGCAGCATCTGGAGGTTTAAAGTCTTCTCTCTCCTCTGTCCTCTCAGAGTCAGTGATTAAAACTGGTGGCTGCTTGCTCTGCTGCGGTTCAGTGGCTAACAAACAAGGCTAGCTGCTAACAGCCACCGCTGCAACCAACAAACTCCACCAATCCCATTCAATAGCTCTCTTTTCCACAGTCAGACACACAGCTGCTTATTAACTGCCGAATTACAGCTCACAATTTGTGCCAGCAGCTGAAGCTGTGGTGAAGTGAGTGTTTTGCACATTAGTGAAACATCCTGGTACTGACTATTTACTGGCTTTTACCAGCCCGACGGAATTCTGATCTCATACCGCTCACGAGGCATTAGAAAATAATGGCAAGAATGGCTGGAGAGGTGCCAGGTCGTCTCCAAGGTAGCGATGGCAAAATGAAGCCTCATGAAGCATTTTCTGTATTTTCTGATCCCACTAGATGGCGCTTTTTGTTCAACAAAAGCTTGAAAGCACACTGAATTGCCATTCTTTGAGCCTCTCTTTTTACACCATGAGCTCAATCTAGTGGCCTCAGAAAATAGAGAAAATGATACATGAGGCTTCATTTGGCCATCGCTACTCCAAGGTGCCTTTGAGCAAAGCACTAAACCGCCAACTGCTCATGTATAGGTCCTGTTTGTGCAGGTGTGTGTATTTCAGGCCGACAACAATGTACGACAACAATGTTTGTATGACAATGGAGTGAAAAAATTGAATTTCCCCTCAGGGTTTAATAAAGTATACTTTCTTCCTCCTCATTATCAAAGATCTATTTTTAGCTCATCAACGTCTCGCCTTTGTCATCTAAAAAACTTTTGACGAACAATTGAAGTTGAAGTTTTCGTTAACAAAATACACACAGATCTTGAGTACATGTGTTGGAGGTGAGAAACAAGCGCATGTATATTTGATGACAAAGAGATGCTGGGTCACTTTCATAATCCCCATCTGGCTTCTCCTTCACCGTCTGACCCCGGCTGCCCATGTTGCCCTTGTTAAACCCACTAGGTCACACACCTGTGCTGCAGCATGTCTGGAGTCTGCCCACAGCCGAGCACCGTGGCTCTTAAAGGGTTCAGGCATATCTTACGGGGCTGTGCTTTCAGCTCGTACTACAGCTGGTGTGAAAAGGCCTTTATCCTTTACTCTCAGTGTGTAACGACGTGTTACGCCTCGGTCAGGAAGGCTGAATGGTCTCAAGGATCCGTTTCATGTCCTGTTATGTTACAGTATGTGCAGATTATTGTAAAACAGCTTCTTGGAGGATGTCACCACATGGTCAGGCTTTAGATGTTCTGTTCCCATCAACAGTATTTGTCAGATTAACAATGAAATCATCATTAATCATCAGTTCCTGTTTTTTCTTAGCGCTGCTTTGCTGTGCAGATTCTTTTCATCTCTTTGCTCTATGGTTAATCAAAGGACACACAAGTCAGACTATGAAAACAGCTGAATTAGAGCATCATGTTACTACACTTTATTTACCCAGGTGTTCTCTTGTCACAGGAGGAGGATTTCGAGGACATGATTAACTTGGCCGAAACCATGGAGAGCCAGTGCGGTCACCTGTTTGACAAGGTGATCGTTAACGGAGACATCGCCGTGGCGTTCAGGGAGCTGAGGGCCGACCTCGAGAAGGTGTTAGAGGCAGAAGTTCACTGGATTCCTGCAGAGTGGATCTGCTCCTCGCCGAAAAAAGCACGGAGAAGCTGTGGTCATTTGGACAGCTGGATTTGAACTATGAGCTCAGAAAGAAACAAAGAAGAGCCTAAAAATAATGTCTGACTGACTGATCCTAAGTCCCGCCCCTCTAAGTTACTGTAGCAAAGTCTGACATGCTTGACAAAAAGAAATATGGCGATGGCGGTTTTGTTTAGCTTGGTGCTGAAGTGCTAGTTTCTAGGCATAAGGCAATATAGCTTCAAGAAGCAGACAGCAAGGATGATGTGATGACGGGATATATTCACCATATTAACGTTTATAAACATGGCAAATTGTTGCAAATTCCGGTTTCAATGTAAAAGAAATAAGAAGAGACAGAGAATGATGTGACTACCAGTCAACATCAGGTGCGTTTACATGGAGCTAATGTTTCACAACCACCTCAACTTGAAGAGACTGGCCCAATTAGATAGGACAGTTTGATTGGATTTTCGTTCTAGAGAGAGAGAGGGGTCCGTCTTTTGATCTGCTTCAACACTCTTTGTGTCTACATTAAAGTGTTGTTGTTAGCTCATTGTCACAGTGGTTCACTCTATGGTGAAGTATAACAGGAAATAAGAGAACCTGACTGAGGTTCTACCGTGTTGTTTGCTCAACTGTTACTGGAGCACAGAGCGAAAAGGGGCGGGACATGGGAAAGGCTAACTGTATGTAGTTCGAATTCAACACCTTAAACCTTGAATTTTTGTCATATTTTAAATATTTTTCCGTTTGTAAACAGGTCCAGTCATTACCACTGTTTTCCACAGTGTCTCTTAGTGTGCATCTAATTAGGCAGAATCCATCTCTCTCCCTCCGCCTGTCCCTCAGCCAGTTCTTCTGTTGGCATTTGGCTGAAATAACGTCGGCTCGCAGGATGGAGAAGAAGAAGAAGACGAAAGGGAAAAAAAAGGAAACTCTCCAGAGCTTGTGGCTGAGCGTAATCCTTCCCTGCCAAGTCGCAAACATCAGCATGTAATTATTCTGACAGCTGCTGCACTTCAATTAACTGTAATGTACACCAGAGAAATATTATTAGTAGCAGTCAGGGAGGCGTTTAGCCAACGACGTGCTGTACAAAATACAGACACAAATAAGATAACAGTCAATTAAAGACTGTAGGTGAAGAAAATTGTTTTACGGCTTTAGTTTCAGAATTGTATATGTATTATAAATGAGAACTAAAGATGCTGTTAATAGTGTGTCATAATTATTCAACTGTTGACTCTCTAGAAATGTGGTTGTTTAAGATTTTTAAGGGTTGAATGTGTATTTTAAAGCACCCTGCGCTGAAAATCTACTTCATTATGGATCATTTACTGTAAAGAATATACAAAAACATACTGAGACAATTAAGAATAATTACCAGAAACTCACCATTAGTGACACTTCATAAACAAATCCTCATATTTGAGCATCACAGCCGCCTGCCGGGTGCAGTTTCTACTATTCTCCTTCACACAAGCTGCTTGATCCCGTTCTCTTTAACGCTTGCATTCCTCCACATTCATGGTGTTTCCTTCCTCTTTTTGGATGCTGTGCTAAATTGGGTGTGAAGGAGTGTTAATGTGTCTATCATGTCGTGTTTGGGAGGAAGAGGGAGCAGCGTGATGTGGGGAGACGGTAATGGCTTTCTAGGGAGTTGGGCCTTTGCAGACATACGGGGAGAAAGTTACGACCGCACATAAAAGCTTACTGTAAAAGGCTGTGCATGGCGGATTAGGAGCACGCCATTTTGTCTCAGGTATTTATTTTACTTTGGCAGGCTCTCGTCAGAAATAGATGAGTGGGGATGCACTCGTTGGCGTGTCTGTCTACACAACCAGACTGTCGGGACACAACGGTCACACTTGTGCCAGGCCTGAAGCGCGACCTCAGCCAAAGCGTGGCAGTATAACTTCATCACACCACTGAGAATCTGCAGGCACCCTCTGAGATCATAACGATGCCATTTAAGACACCGGAGTGATCCAATGAAAACCCACCGTTTTATGTTCACTGCAGCTCCCACTTCAAACATTACACAGAAGTATGATGTCAATTGGTCTCGGATAATTTGGCTCACTCATGTAACTGTCTACTGAAAGTATGTAAAAATAAATAGGACTGATGTTAAACAATATCTTTATCTCTGTATGAAATGTTCATAACTTACAACATGGTAAAGCACATGCTGAAAGTATATGGGAGTAAATTATGCGAACCTAAAGCAGGAAGGGGAAAAGGTTTTTAGTTCATTACAGACAGCTGTAAATTTATAGAGTCATCTACTGATTCCTATATCCTGATATTGACACACTAAGGAAATACTTTACCCCCAAATGACCATTTGTATTACTCACTCCGTGATGTGCTGAAAACTAACATGCCTGTGGTGAACTAAGAATCCAAAACGAAGTACATTTTTGATGAATTGAAGTCATAAGAGTATGTGTTTAACAACGGGTAAACTATATCAAAACATCCATTCACAAACTCTCACACAGCTCCTACAGCATAATCCAAGTCTCGTTTATCCAGTCGTATGCTCAGTACTTCACAAACAGGCAGCCCTCTCAGATGGGGAACTGCGAAAATTATCTATGCCTTCTTCAATTGCCAAGAACTGCTGATTTTTCATTATAGTTATGCAAGAAAAACAAAGTTGTCTTCACAAATTCAACGTAACACAGGATGCGTAATTGATTACAAATGGTCATTTGAGGGTGAAGTATTCCTTTAAAGTCAGACTTTACAACTTTTGAAAGAAGAAACAACAAATCTTCCTCTTACAAATAAAAAGCTAAATTCGTAAACAATAAAACGCACTCAGTTCAATACATTTAGGGGTTTTCTCTGTACAGCCTTACTTGGTTGTGTATGACCATAAAGTTATAATGGCTAATATTAGCTAGCTAGAAACTAACATTACTAACTCAGTTCAGATTTCGTACCGTACGCCGTAGCCTTACATGCACCTCCCCAGAAATGTAACTACACGGTGCAGTGACGCAGACCTCCTGTCTATTTCTGTAAGCTTAAACCATTTCCCTCAGTGGAAACGAAGCTTTTATTTACTTTAATGTCACAGATTACAAACAATAAATTGTGGAGACAATAAAGCCTCCACAAAATAGCATTTTAAGTCTTGTGTGTAATTTATCCTGGCTTCATATGAGCAGAGGAAATCTCCACTCATCGCTAGGCTAATTTATACAATGTAAAATGCCTTGTGCTAATAACATTAGCATGTTATACTTGGAAAACATGTTAAGTATAAGACAGGTGTTTTGTCAGTGAACCTTGTGAGCTGTAATGGAGCTGAATTTTGTAATGTACCTTTGTTAAATGTTGCTGCTGTCCCTGGCTTCATATGAGTAGAGGAAATGTCTGCTAGCCGCTAAGGTAATTTATACAATGTAAAATACCATAAGCTTGTGCTAATAATGTTAGCATGTTGTATTTGTAGGGAAAATGTGTCCAGATAAAGACAAGTGCTTTGTCTGTGAATGTTGCGAGTTATAGTGAAGCTGGTTTGTGTACTTGTGTTTGAAATTGTCTCTATTAAGCCGTGTTTAATGTGTGTTTTTAATCAACTCAGCTTTACAACATTTCACAAAAACACAGCTGCCTACTAGTGTTTTGGAGGTGTAACTGCAGAGTGACACAGACACACCATCACACAAGTGTTTATGCTCACAATGGCGTAGGCTATGTCATGATAAGTCCAATATTCCTCCTCCTTTTAGCTCTGTTTTGGCCTCCACCACCTCCTGTGGCAAATATCTGATTCTTTAGTTGCTTCATGTTCCACTGTGTTCACCAGCTGGTCGCTAACATTGTCAGTTTTCTGTTTGGTGCTGGTTAGGTAGTGTACAGCAGATTTATTACAGCTTTGTGCTTAAAACAGCTGCATTTGACAAATATAATCAATAAATCTCTGACTCAAATCCACTAAATCAGAATTAATACAAGAAATTTAAATTTGGCAAAAGCTACTTTTTTTTTAGGATATTTAAGGATTAAGGCTGACCAATATTGTGATAACAGTTCAACATTTTTTACTAAGTACCTTGACACTGATATTGCGGCGATAATGTTAGGCTTGTGGCCATCACAAAATATTTACACAATGATTTTTGTAATAAATAATCATCAATAATGTGGAAGTAATGACTAAGTGGGTAAAGGCAAGTAACAGGACAGCTCAAAGAAGTCTGGTAAGTCCAGAATATTACATCACTTTACTATAATGCAGCCTTTAAAACCAGGAAAAGAAAACACTTATCATACCATGATATTAATTTAATATTGATATGTTGCCCAGCGCTGTTGAGGATACAATCAGTTTTCTCCAACACGGACTTGATAGATGTTTGGCCCTTTTGGCCTGGCGTTTGGGAACCGACGAGACACACACACACACACACACACACACGTGCCAAACTATTCAAACAAAAAGAGATATATGTCCTTTCACAGTGTTTTTTACAGGTCTCCTGGCTGCCGATTGTAGGTGTGTTCCCAGCTAATATCAACAGTTGAGCCGGTGAACACATCACAGAGGGACAGGAGTAAATGGTGTGTGATAGCATGTAGCATTCTCTGACCGCTGCTGAGGAATGTGAGCGAGGAATTTACTGCACCTAACGGGGATGCTTCTGGTCCATGTGTTTTTCAGCTTTGAAACCATTGAAACTCAACCTCCCCACCGTAGCTGCTGAATTATGAACAGGGACGAGAGTTATGGAGCCCTTTAATATGTTTAACGGTTGAACAAGTGCTGCTCGGATTTTAGCCATAACCTTCAAAAGTTTCAACTGTAGACAGGAGAGGGGGAAGAAAACGCATTTTATCAAATGTGTTTGCTTAAAGATTATCAAGTTATGATTGTGCATGGCAAAGTAATTACTGTATATCCAAACAGTCTTACATAAGAGTGTTTGGATGACAAGAGGAAAAACATACGTGGATGACAGCTATGTCGAGCCACAGAGTCTTTTCAAGTGCAGCTGGGCCTGGTGCCAGCATGTTGTCATGTCGTTACACTAATGACGCCGCTAAGCTTCTGTCAGACCCACTTTTTGTAATTGTTCACAGCCCTTGTTGCTTCAAAACGGAGACAAACATTGACAAATATGAGCACCGTGATTGGATTATCCCTGCTCACACTGCAGACAGCGTGAAAGATGCACAATTCTGACACTCTGATGAACACATTTTCTTTACACCAGATCAATTTCATTTTCCAGTCTTTGTGTTAACTGCATTATGAGCCAATTTGTACATGAAATCCATTTCAGCTCAGCAGGATTCACTCCCCAACACGAGGCGCAGTTTGGTGGTTTCGCTGGTTAATAGCAACCGTGCAATTACACCCATAAATTTCCAGAATCCCCCGGTAAAACATGCATTAATATCTGCTGACACGATTTTTGGTAAAACCGCGAGAGATTCATGTGCCTCATGTAGAAAATATGAGAGCATGTCAGAGTGCTTAGCACAGGCTGCACTCACACCAGGCAACATTTTACTAGTAAATCTTATGACCACATTTGCTGATATTCATGTGCAATATTTTTCATATCCTGGAGTGCTACCGAGGCTGCTGCTCTGCAAGCTTTTCCTTCACAGAGCTCTCTCCAGAGAGGTGATTGGACGGCGGGAGAGCCAATAGGCGGCTGAGCAGCAGGTTATTTGAACTCTCCTCACACAGCTCAACTAAACCAGACAACATCCTCTGACTTTTCAAACATTATTCTCTCGTAAGAGTGTGTCATCATCTCAGAAGAGGACGGGACACTTTTTTTTTTAACCCTTTTTAAAATTACCTTTACATCAAGTATCCAGAATGGGAACCTGCTGCTTCTTTTTACATCTGGAAGTCTACTCATGCACCTGTTGATCTGTTGAGGAAAACTCTCTGCGTTTAACAATGAACAAAGTCGCTGAGATGAAGTCTGACGCTCTGCTTCATTTGGAGGACAACATGAGAGCAGAGGAGAGGAGCAGACTGAACTGTGTGGACTTACCTCAGAGCAGTTTAACAGACGAGCAGAACGCAGACCTGCTGCGATGCCAGGACACCACTGACGACAGCTCTCCTATCAAATACAGAAGATACGGGTACGCCCTTTTAGTCTGTGTTGGAAAAACTGTTTTAAACAGTTAAACAGGTGGTTGTATTTTGTTTTAGTGTTATAATATGTATCTTAAAATGCAGTATCTTAACATCTAGGATAATTATCTAACCTGACATCATGATAAAATATTGTTTTACTCTGCATTTTCATGCATTGTTGAATAATTCTTTGCACTTCTTCAGACTTGGAAGTCACAGACAAATAATTCAGTATCATGCTGTTCCATGTATAAATGTCAAAGTCTGAACAGAGCAGATTGCGGGTGGTCGTTGTGAATCTATGAGGCAAATTGTGATTCCTCCAGGTCTCGTCTGGGGGGGGTCAAAGTTCGCCACAAGAGACAGGTGCTGCAGGACATGGCTCGGCCGCTGAAACATTGGCTGTACAAACACCGAGACAACCCCTACCCCACCAAGACGGAGAAGGTCTTGCTGGCTCTGGGCTCACACATGACGCTAGTGCAGGTGAGAGATGAGCTCGTGCAAGAAAGCAGGGATGGTGGAATGAAGCAAAAGTGATATTGAATTCTGTGGGTTAAAATGAAGCCAGTGCTTTTCTGTAATGAGGTGCATCTGTGCAGGTTTCGAACTGGTTTGCAAACGCCCGTCGTAGGCTGAAGAACACAGTGAGACAGCCCGACCTGAGCTGGGCCCTGAGGATCAAACTGTACAATAAATACATCCAGGGAAACGCTGAGAGGCTGAGCGTGTGCAGCGATGACACAGACTCAGATGGTACAGGCTACAGTATCATTTTATAGTGTTTACTACTTTTCCTTTTAATAGATGGAATTGTGAAGGAAAGATTAGATCTAAACTGAAACAGCAGTATAAAGATAAATAGACATATATTACAATATATAGACATATACAGTTCATAGCTCGTATCATCCTATATGAATCATTTGAATCAGTACACATGACATAATTCATTTTTGTTTCCTTTTCTGTAGATGAAGAGTGTCCCTTACAAACTCCCATCAGCCAATCAGACTTCGTCAGGTCATCTTCCCACAAGAACGTGCTTGAAAAGCAGGGCAGCGTCCTCGCCATGGCAGACTCCGCCAACAGTGACGACAGCGCGTCACCCCCATCCAAGTACAAGAGCAGTTTACTGAATCGTTATCTGAACGACACCCTGCGGCACATGATGGCGGCGAAGGCCGACAGCGTCACTACAGCTCGCAAGAGGAGGAGCCACTCCGAGTCATTCAGCTCCAACGAGTGCGATCGAGATGTCGTCTCGCCAGCGTCATCCTATGAAACAGAGGCCAACTTTGTCTACCACATGGGTGAGAGATGTCACTTTTTCACGGTGCATTATAACACAACACATCAAAGCAGGTTTTCATTTTGTGTTGATTTTGGCGCCCCCCGTGGACAAAAGTAGTAGTGTTTCCATGAGCAGTAAAGATATTGATCTGGCTTGCTCTTGCACTTGTTTAGAAAGCAAGAGAAGAAAGATGCAACTTATTTTTAAAGGTCTAGCATGTAGGATTTAATGGCATCTAGTGGTAAGGTTGGGAATTGCAACCAACTGAAACTTCTCCTGAGTACCAAGCATGTAGAACAGTGGCCCAAGCAAAAAGTGAAAACATGAAAACGCAAAAATACAGAAAGATCTATCTAAAGCCAGTGTTTTGTTTGTCCATTCTGGGCTACTGTATAACAACATGGCAGACTGGTGGAAGGTGACCCACTCCGTATGTATATATAAACGCCCCATTCTACAGTAACGGAAACACAACAGTTCTTAGTTTCAAGTAAACATAGTAATGAATATTTATTATATTCCATTTCTGACAATACATCCCCCTGAGTCCTAAACACTGTAATACTGTTTTTCTTTTTTAAACACAGCTGTAGAATGTATAGCAATGAGGTAAAGCATCTGTGTGTCTATCTAAGACTAATAACTGTAATATGACAATGGTGAAACAAAGTTAGCTTTGTTTTAGCCTCCATCATAAATTCATATATTAGTCTAAAATCACATCTCTCGCAATAAAATTTAGAAATAAAACAGACTTATTACATAACTGTCTAGTGGGAAGACGGACAATTCAGGAACAGTTTTGAATACTATCAAATTCCACAGTTGTCTCCATCATGTTTTTCCCTGTGCTCTATCACTGTCCCTATTAGCTTTTGTTTTTGTTCTTTGGTCATTTTTTTCTTTTCCTCTTTGCTGATCCCACCCCAGTATCAACCATCACTACAAAATATAAGGTCTAAAATAAACTTTTCTCAAGAATATCTCCTACTATTTTGTTTAATGCATCCTTATACAATTCGTATGATATCTAATGAATTAGCACACTATGTACTTAACACAAAATAACACAAATTAGGTTTAAGCAAGTAAAGTTGCGTAGGTTAGGTGTAGGAAAAGAAACAGTTGGGCGTTGTCACGTTACTTACGTAACAAACATTTACGTAGGTAGAGTTTAAGCAAGTAAAGTTACATGGGTTAGGGTTAGGCAAGTAAAATTATGTAGGTTAGGTTTAGGCAACTAAAAAGTTACATAGGATAGGTAAAGGAATATAGTAGGGCATTGTCATGTTGCGTCCTTAATATTAAGTTACGGAGGCTAGGTTTAGGCAAGTGATGTTACATAGGTTACGTTACGGAAAAGAATCATGGTGACGATGTACCTCACAAGAATTTCACACAGGACATTAACACTGGTCTCCTGGATGAAAGTCCTGTGGTTGTTTGACCCATCAACCACCACAACTTGTTTCCTGGCACAAAGTTTGGCTCTTAATACTATTTCCTTCTTTACTCCCGTCAGCACATTGGTCACGTGATCACAGACCCCCCCCAAACCCCAATTCTGTGGGTTATAAACAAATCATTAGTTCATGATTATGTGGGTTACATACAGATCTGGTACGTTACTTTTCATAGGTATACTTGCGAACAGTGCATGAAAACAGCCTGTTCCGGTTAACTGGCTAACATACTACTACGGCAAAACTTTGCCAGGTAAATGTAAACATAGGCTCTTCTGTCTGCGTGCCGTAAATCATTCCATTTAATTTTGGCAGGGAATCAGATCTCGGAACAGGCATTAAGAGTATCTAAATAGAAAAAGCCAATCTTCTCGCTCATGGTCTCGTTTGCTTATATATGTCATAAAGGGGCATCAATGTTAAATTGAGACTGTTTCATAACCAGCTAAAATCTCCTGCTTTAAAGCAATGACAGAGTTTTCTTATTTGAGAGAACAACATCTGCACTGAATACAGAATCAGGGAAAGCAGGCAATGATGCAACGTGGAGGGTAAAGTGGCAGGAAGAGAGATGATAGCACCCCCTGTCCACAGAAATCATCAAAGCATCTTCCTTGTTAATTGCAGATTTATGTTGAATGTGAGGTAAAATGACACTTTAACTACCCTGCTTCCCCTCAGTTCATTTTTAACACACCACAGTGTACAGTAAAATAAGAACAGACCGAACAGAAACTTCCACATGGCTCCTCAGAGCTCCCTGACGTTAATAAATCTCTGGCACTCCACTGAAAGTCAGAAGCTCTGCGAGATTCAATTATAAAGTTACAGCGAATCTGGGAGGGAGTTTGACACCTGGGTGCCCTTTCAGACCTATAGGGAGCCCAGCTCACTGACAACCCTCAAATCCGCTAAAGGTACGGGAGCCAAAGCCTTTACAAACATCACTAATAAAGACTCATGCAGACGCTGAAATCCCTCATTTTAAAATTGGACGGAGCTCACGCTGGCTGCCGCTGCACACCGCAAATATCATTTCCATATACTAGAATGTGCCATTTGTTCCGCTTCAGCTTCTTGCCATGGTGGAAATGTCCAGTCCAGTCTCAAGGACAATTACAGCATGTCTGAGACTTTATTCTTCCCAGGGTGAGAAGTAGGAAACTCAGCCAAATGTAGAAGTGGAGCAGTCTGTCAGTAAAGCACTGAAGACGTCGCGTAGAGTGACTGTCAGAGCTGCCACTCATCTGTGAGACAACGCAGAGCGAGATCACTAATATCCATTTGGCGTTTACCATCCCTGTTTGAGGGTGTAGCTTTGCTTCCCTGACTCATGTGTGCTTTGGCAGGCGGCTTCTCCCAAGTGTCACTTTCCTACTCAGAATCAATCTCAATGTACATTACATTATAAGAGTTGTGAAAAGATTTTTGAAACCAGTTCTGCTTTTTAGCATATCTCATCAGTTTCACTCTAAAAATTAAACAAGGCATGCTTTAAGTTCCTTTTTTATTATTTCAGGACCACTCTCCAAGCAAACATTAAATCCTGGTTCCAGTCTAAAGACGGCTGTTTAATGGACATTTTTATAGTTTGTGACAAGGCTTAATCTGTATCCGGGAAACTCAGGTTAACCTCAAATTGGCCTATAGACATGAATAATTGGGATAATTCATCATTTCAACAGGCCTGTACTTCATATTTAAAGCAATAGTGGACCAGTGAAATGATATATATTATACACAGAATATTGTCTTACTCTAAACTATTGAACGAATGTATCAATATTTTACAAACATTAAAAAAACATATTGTTTATTAAAGAATTATAATAGGTAAACAACTGCTATGTCAAAACAGTAACTCGTGCTACACATCATTAGAAAGCTAAGATTCTTGCGGTTCGACTGATGTGGACCATTTTAATATACAACCACCACAGCAGGTACAATAAACGCTTCTGTCAGACCACCAACAAACAAACAAACACTTAGAACTCAGCTATGAAGCCTTATCATAATCATCACATTGGTAATATTCTGACAAAAATTGTCATGATACATTCGTAAAGGTCCAGACGATCGAAATCCAGTGAAATATTTAGTCCAAACTAGGGTTGCCGCCATATACCGATTTCAAGGTATATCGTGATATAAAACCTGACGGTTATCATACCATGTACATTTGAATATCTACAATACCTACAGACATTTAATCTCCCCTTTACATTTGTTTTTTACACTTTTTCCACAAACTTTCATAAACAAAATGGTTTCAGGTTTCAATTATAGAAATAAAATGTTTGTTCAACCAAAAATAACCCTTCCATTTTCATTCCTTTAGGGGTCATTTGGACTGATAATAATATAAATTCTGTAATACCGTGATACTGTGAATCCGCAATATTTTCTGTGACGGTTAACGTAATGTGAAAATCTCATACTGCTGCAACCCTAGTCCAAACACATAATTACGTCCGAAGATATCCACGGACTGCCCTTGCATCCTTTAAAATCTAATTTCGCCACACATTGTCCACACTATCTCCAGTTTGCATGTAATTATTGCCGAAAGCTCAATAGCAAAATGGCCGCTGAACTCTGACCTGTTGATTGACACCTTACTTGAGCCAATAGGAGCCTCCATGTTTTCTCCATAGCCTACAATAGCCAACGTAGAAAGCCTGTGTAGAAAGAGAGGGGCCTGCCTCTCTTTTGGGTCTATAGATCCAGCCAATAGCAAGCGGTTGTTTTAATAAACGGTGCTTCTTATAGCCAATTAGATTCCTGACTGAGAGATATGCATTTTTTGCATTTTTTTCCATCATAGACCATTAAATAAATGTAAATAAATGATAAACTGATGGTTCTTTTATCATCTTCAGCGAAACAACCTATAACGTTCACAAATTAACATTATATCTTGTTTGATTTATCTGTTCAAAAAAACTGAGGTGTAAAACTCTTATTTATTTATTTAATCTTTATCAGGAAAAAACTCGAGATTAAAAACCTCTTTTTCAAGAGTGTCCTGGCCGAGACAGGCAGCAACATAAGTTACAGACAGACAACACAGAACAAAATAACAAAATAAAAAATGTACAGCTCTAAAACAAGCAATATAAAACACAGAATGAGATTACTACAAAGAAAAGCCAAAAAAGTATGTTAACATATGCTATAAGTGAAGCAGAAAAATGCAAAAAAAAAAGGCAACTACACGATTACAAAGACCAGCTAAAATACACCCCGACATTGGCATATAGATGATCGCATACAAAAATCCTGCAACAGTGCTTATCATTATTAATATTATTATTATTATTATTATTTTTATATTTTATTACTGTTATTATTATTATTATTTTCCACTGTTATAGTCTTTATGCTAGGCCACCATTACTTCTGCTGGCTGCAGCTTCATATAACATAGAGAAAGAAAATGAGCGTATTTGCCACAATTTTAGGGACTGTGCTGTTTACAGTGTTGGAGAAAGTATCCAGATCCTTTACATAAGTAGAAGTACTAAAACCGGTCTGTAAAAATACTCTATTACTA